AGTGGTAAGTCTGAGTTTAAATGTAAAATAATCGTCCAGAAGCCTATAGTTCCAGAATCGAAAAGTTCTGACTAAAACAAAAAGTTTTTAAATAGCTTTCATGTTAGCATAAAAATTAGCGACAAAACGAAATTGTAAAAACAAAAAACGTGAAAACTCTCAAAAATTTGTGACAAAAAGTTTAGAATTGTTACGTAACAGTTGTTACATAATTTGAGAACGCGTTGAAATTGTAATTTCAAACAAACGTTTTCTCACATTTTTGTGCATCTTCAGGTTTTAAAAGTTTTGAACTATCTTTACAGAACGATCAAAGATCATAAAAAGTGTCATACACATCATTATTTCAAAATTTAAAAAATTCAACCAATCACAACTTTACAAATATAACTGAAATTATGTAACAACTATTATGTAACAGTTTCAAACATTTTGTCACAAATTTTTGAGAAATTTCATCTTTTTTGTTTTTTACAATTTCGTTGCAGTAATGTTCTTTACAATTTCGTTTCAGTATCTTAGAGTTTGTCTAGAAAACGACCTTATACCTGAATTTTTGAGGTTCAGGGTACCGGAAAATGGGGTATTTTTGAACAAAGCGGTAAACAGTTTTCAGACAAAAATCTAAGAACGGAGATAAACAAGGCAAGGACAGACGAGAGAAACGTTGAAGTCAAGCTAGAAAGGGCGAGAGGCGCAGTACAGAGGGGTGTAGATGAGAAGTTTTGGCCTTCGGTAATTAAATACTTAAGTCTCAGAGGACAAAAACAAACAACAACAGTCAAAGAGACCCATCAGAAGAAGCTAATGAAATTATCAGAAAGACAAGACCGACCTCTAGGGAAGCAATGTGAGGGTTCGGTAAGAGCTCTTGATGTTGTGAATTAGCAAAGTGTGTACAACAAGTGTTGGCGTTAGGGCCGAAACATCCCGTCAGAGATAAATTTAATGAGACACACTTTCTCGCCGACATTGACATCTTTCTATCGGATCTCAAAAATAGTAAAAGTCCCCGGTGAGGCCCTTTGTGAGATCGGAGCTGTGGCAAAAACCTATGCTAAAAGGGTGAAACAAACACCATCTGACAAAAGCGTTGAGAAGTCCCGAAAGTATCTGAAGAGTAATTGATTAGTGGAGATACCGTATCACAAAAGCGTGAGTTTTTGTGTAATGAGGAAGGACACCTACGAGATCAAGTTGTCGGATACTTTAGATTCAAATCAATCAGCAAAATTAAAGGAGAAAGTGATGCGATTGTTTTGAAGATAGAAAGAGACATCAATAAGGAGTTGTTGGGTATGAGGAAAAAAGACAAAATAAGTGAGAATCTCCACACAAGGATGAGGTCTACTGGGGGGCAGCCCGCCAGGCTTTATGGGTTGGCGAAAGTGCATAAAGTGAATACCGCATTAAGACCGGTCCTATCCTTGCCTGGTAGCTCTCATTTATGTTGAACAAGGTTCTTGAAAAATTTTTCGAGAAAATTGAGGGCGCAAACATCGAAACCAACTCACTAGATGCGAGAGAAACCTTAGAGAGCACTAATCTCGAGCCCAATGAAAATTTGATATCTCTAGATGTGAAGAGTTTGTATACAAATGTTCCACTGAAAGAAGCAATAGACATAGCTCTGAGAAAACTGTATGAGCAAGATGATCCACCATCAATTGCTAGGAAAACCATGAAGAGACTGTTGAACATGGCAGTTAGTCAAGTCCATTTCAAGTGCAATGAAAGATGGTACGTTCAGAAAGATGTCTTGGCAATGGAGGCATCTCTTGTCGTTAATTTAGCACATCTTGGCTGCAGCAGTACGAATCTGCACTATCGAGGGATATTCCCGAAATGTTTTTGCCCGAGAAAGATTTTAACGGAATATGTCCCGAGTGCAACAAGAAAGTCACGTACAGGTCAAAAGGTGTAGAATGTGAATGATGTTTGAACTGGTATCACATAAAATGCGGTGATATATGAGATGATGAGTATCGAAATATAAGTGAAACCGTCTGGTACTGTAGCAAATGCATCGCAATAAGAGAGCAAAATAAGTCAGTGCAGCAAGCTAAGTTATTTCTCTGTTACGTTGACGAAATAGTGAAAACAGTGAAGGGTGGTCCTGAAAAAGTGCTACGTGATGCAAACTTACTACATCCAAATTTACAGTTCACAATTGAGCCACCAAACACAAACGGAAAATTGGCATTTTTGGATTTACAAATTAGTATTGACAAAGCAGGAAAATTAACTGCGGGTGGTATCAAAAACCAACAGATACAGGTACCATACTAAATTTTAGAAGCTGTGTCCCCTTTCAGTACAAGAGAAGTGTGATTGAAAGAACTGTTCTCCGGGTTTTCCGCAGTACGTCAACATGGGAAGAATCTGATAAAGCTATGAAAATCAACCGTGAGCAGTGGTTGGATAACTATTATCCGGAAAACTGGCCGTCGCGGGTTGCATCCCATGCCCTTGAAAAAATCAGGGAGGGCAGAAACAAAAAAAACATGGCTGAGAAAAAGAAGTCCTGTGATTATAGCAGTAATTCACCACCCATCTTGATGTTCCAATATAGGGGGAATCACAGTCAAACATTAGCAAAAAAGTGCGCGATATCACCAATGCACAGATAATTTTCACAACGAGGAAAATGAAAACTTGTATGCCCTCTCTAAAATCTTCATTTTCCAGCGAACTGAATTCAAAAGTGGTGTACATACTTAAATGTTGTGGTTGAAAATCAATCTATGCTGGCCAGATGGTCCGACATCTCACCACAAGTATTGAGGAACACCGAAAAGAGGATACCCCAGTTGGACAGCATATAAGGCAGTGTGGTAGTGAGAGTGGTAAGTCTGAGTTTAAATGGAAAATAATCGACCAGGCGTCCAGCAGCATCAAGGTACTTACAATAGAGGCGCTGCACATTAGGAAACCGAGACCGGCAATTAACAGGTAGGACGTGTTAAGAAGAAGGGAGCTGACACTATGGCTATTATCACTATTTTAAGATACCAGAGACCAAATTCAATATTGAATTTCGAAATATATAATTAAATTTGTTTAGTTTTTTTGCAATGTAATTGTTTTTTGTTTAATTTGTTTAATTTTAATGCTTGAGAGAGGCTCTTCCACATTTCAGAAACTTTTTATCACCATTTGTTTTATGTGAATGTGTTAAAACGTCACGTTTCAAGCATTGATACAAAATCCGTTTTTCTCAATATCTACAAAAAATTCAATATCAATATCAATATCTAGCCTTCAATATCTCAATATTAAAAATTTAATATTGACATCGTCTCAATATTCAATATCTGATCATTCAATATATTGCAATCCCTGGTTCCAGAATCGAAAAGTTGTGACTAAAACGAAAAATTTTGAAATAACTTACATGTTAGCATGAACATTAGCAACAAAAGGAAATTGTAAAAACAAAAAGGATGGAAACCCTCAGAAATTTGTGTCAAATGGTTTGAAATCGTTACATAATACTTACTACATAATTTCAGTAATATTTGTAAAGTTTTGATTGGTTGAATTTTTATAATTTTGAAATGATGATGTGTAAGACACTTTTTATGATCTTTGATCCTTTTGTACAGATAGTTCAGAATTTTTGAAACCTGAAGATGCACAAAAATGTGCGAAAAGGTTTGTTTGAGTTTACAATTTGAACGCATTCTCGAAATGTTACGTAATTTGTTATGTAATTACTGTTTGATCTCATTTTTTTCAGATTTTTGATCTTTTTGTAAATAATGTAAAAAAACTTTCAATCCTGATGATGCACAAAATGTGCGAAAAAGTTTAAATTGTTTGAAATTGTTACATAATGGTTGTTACATAATTTCAGTAATATTTGTAAAGTTTGACTGGTTGAATATTTTAAATTTTGAAATAATGATGTGTATGACACTTTTTATGATCTTTGATCATTTTGTACAGATAGTTTAGAATTTTTAAAACCTGAAGATGCACTAAAGTGTGCGAAAACGTTTGTTTGAATTTACAATTTTAACGCATTCTTAAAATATTTAGATTTAAAATTTTGTTACATAATTTCAGTAATATTTGTAATCAAAACATTGTACTGAAGATGCACAAAAATGTGCGAAAACGTTTGTTTGAATTCACAATTTTAACGCATTTTCGAAATATTTGTAAAGTTTTGATTGGTTGAGTATTTAAAATTTTAAAATAATGATGTGTATGACCTTTTTTATGATCTTTGATCATTCTGTACAGATAGTTTAGAATTTTTAAAACCTGAAGATGCACAAAAAGGTGTGAAAACGTTTGTTAGAGATTACAATTTTAACGCATTCTCAAAATGTTACGTAATTTATTATGTAATTACAGTTGGTTAAATTTGAGATCTTTGATCTCATTTTTTCAGATCTTTGATCGTTTTGTAAGTATTGTAAAGAAACTTTCAATCCTGATGATGTACAAAATGTGCGAAAACGTTTAAATTAGGATTTTAAAATTCTTTATACGGACTGTTTCTTTTGAAAAAAAATACACTCGATCGACATTGTTCCTCAGTAAAGCGCGGGTATTTTTAGACTTCCTTTTGTGTTTTGTTTTAAAAACTCTAATTATGATGTCCTCAAAATTTGGAGCTGCAGTGATCATTTTTGAGATCAGATGAAGTCACATGCAATTTTTTGTTTTAAAGAAAAAAAATTCGAAATCAAAACCGACCAAAGCTCATTAAAGTGCTAGAATTTGAAGTTTTGAGGCCCTAATTTAAAAACCATTTACTGATTACAGAGGATTCTTTCAATGAGTTTGGATGAAAAATTTGCGTAATTTCGAAAGAGAGGATTTTGAAACTTCGACAATGTTGGCACTAATTTGGGGTTCTAGTGCCGGAACTTTCTCAACTTCTGATTATCAGTTTTTGCTCATTTAAAAAAAACCTTGCCGAGCTTTATCTTTGACTGCACTAATGTCCAGCATTTCTAAAAAGGATAAAACTTGCATAGAAAACGATGTTTGATGATTTCATTGAAAAATAAATTGCGAGGATTAAGATTTTTTTTCAAATACATTTTATTTGATAGCAATTAAAATTTCATTTACATTTTACATGATAGCAATAGGCTTCAGTATTTCAGTTTTACTAGATTTCTCTCCTGAACTTGACTTGGATACTTGCTGGTAATGCTTCCACTCCTGAAGAAATTTAGCCGATATTTTGTAGGGATGTTGACAGTATGGTTGAATAATATCAACAATAGATCCGTTTTTCCTGCATCTAAAATAAATTTGGCCACTCATTATAAATTAATTCGTGGTTTCTTATAATTATTCCAGAAGTCAAAGCCACTCACAAGTCCAAGAGTTTTCTCCATCCTGAAAATCGAAGGGTTAAGTATCCAAGAGCTATTGAGCCCGTTCCCTTGACATGGGTGTCGTCGGAGAAGGTGACTAGATTAACTAAGTGTTTCACGACATCAATGGCAATCATCGCATCGGCAACGCCCGAATCAGATGATCTAGCTAGTCTACAGATACACTCACAAGCTGCAACTTGCACGGGAACGTCTTGAGACGATTCCAGAATTGAAATCATCCGTTTGATTCCCTGAGCCGCACACACTGCGGGGTCTTCATCTTCGATAATTTTGGATAAAATTATAACCTAAGCCCAAAAATGAGTATCATAGGTGTGTAAAAGTAACTAGATTCAGTTATAAGAGGGCTACACATCCTTCTTATGTACAACTGCCATGATTTAGAAAGTAAATTTAAGCCTCTCGGTCGCTATCAAGACTTTCGCAGACGTAATTAACCCCACCTGACTTAATAGGATTAATATTTTTTTTTGTTAAAAATGGAAAAAAAATCTCAGCAGATATCGAACCTATCAAATCTTTAGTACCTGGAAAGCTGCGTTACACTGAATTAAGGGCGAGTCTTTGCAATCAAGCATTTGTTTGAAGTACTTGAAGCGCAATGCCCTGTATCTTGAGATCTGAACTTGCTCTTGAATATTATTGTATCCGAAGCATGCAAGAGCGGCTCCCACTTTGCATCGCTTAGTCAAATCGGGAATGGAAAGCAAATAGAGCAGAGGCGCGTAGGAGAATTCGTTTTCCTCGTCGAATTCTTGGTAGAAATTGTCAATCCCTTAAAGCAATCAATTCATTTTTTACCGCACGTGAAAGTTCAACTTTGATGTATTGTTTTTTTTTCAAGTCAAAACACATTCATTCAAAGACCTGATAAGAGATATTAGCGAGGTACAGACTCCCGGATGGGACCAACAATTCTCATATTTACGATTGCGATTACCACGTGCTGTTAATTGCGTACTAGGTTTTTTTGATTATAAAACAATAGTTGAATTTACTGATTGTTGCACGAAAATCAGGTGCCAAACAAACGTTAGATGGATTCGGGTGTCATTTCATGGCCAAGCCCTTACGATCGCGATTCGTTATTAAATAAAATTCAAAAACTGTTTTTTTATCAATGTCAAGAAGGCGGCGAGTAAAGCTTTTTATTCAGCTATAATAGTAATTTTCGTCAGCTTAATCAAGTTTTGGAGCTTCAGCTAGCGTTTTCCCAGATCGAAAAATAAGAATTAGCAATTCCAAAAAGTGGAACTTTTTTTCTTTTGGGAAAAAACATTTGTTTCAATTTTGTTATCATCTCTAGGTCGCAGATTCGAATCTCAGATCCAGCCGAATTTTTACTTATTCGAGGCGTATTTATACCTTATCTTATTGCACTTTAGTGAGCTGCTTTTTGTCGTGTTCTGTTGTTGTTGTTGTTGTTGTTTGTAGCCGCTATATCTCTGTGTCGTCTTCCAGTCTGAGAAAAGTGGACGCCTCCACTGGTTGTTTCCAGAGTGCATCAACCGTCAAATCAGTGGGGTTTGCCGCGCAATCGAAAAGGTGCTGGGTTGTGTGGCCGTGATTATTGCAGTTTGGTCAGACATCTTCAATTTTTTCGTCTATTCTTGACATATAAGAGTTTAAAATACGACAGTATCCGTTTGAGATGTGCCAGGCGTGTTCTGCAGACCCTTGGTAGTGAACTTTCTGTTTCGTGTATTTCAGGAGGTGCGCTTCCGTAAACAGGGTTCGGTTTGAGACTGCTGCTGACTTCGTTGACGATCTGTGTGTGTAGGACTTTTTGTAGTCTTTTGGCTTCTTTTTGTTCAATTCTTTGATTTGGTAGCTGGTTTTCATATTTGTAAAAAAAGGTCAGGTTTCATCTGAGGTTGGTGCGGGAGAGGTCTTGTGGTCAGAGAGTGACGGGGGTGCCTCGGGTTGTAGCAAGTGATGGCGTACTGTTTGGCGAGCATGTGGGTGTGTTCTTTAATGGGCAGAACGCGTGCTTCATTGTGCAGGTCGTCTATGTTCGTCATGTTGTAGCAACCTGTTGTGATACGTAAGGCTTTATTCTGTGCCAGTTGTAGTCGTTTCCAGTGGCAGTCTTTGATGATGGGAGCCCAGGTGGAACAGCAGTAGTTGATGACAGATCTGCTGGTAGCTTTGTACAGAGTCATGAGGGTTTCGCGGTCACTGCCCCATGCTGTACCTGCTAGAGCTTTAAGTAACGCATTAATCTTCTGAGCTTTGGCTGCGATGTCTCTTGTATGTGGTCCGAAACAGAGCATCGTGTCCAGGTTCTCAAGTGTCCAGCGTCTACGTCGCGGAACCACCCGAGACCTCCCCCAAGATCTCTCGGCCAATGGGACACAATCTATCCTCTATCTCTCTCTCTCTCTCTCTCTCTCTCTTTGTTGTGTTCTCGCTAGTGTTTGCGAAGCGAAGCTTTGCCTCTGTGTAATTGTTTTTTTTTTGCTCCATTTTAATTCGGCTTGAAGTTTCGTCTTATATTATATCCACTTAGTAGGCTTAAATTGTGTTGTTTGAAGGTGGATAATAATGTTTCATGAGCGTGGGTGCTGGGAATCACGTGCGAATCTTGAAAATTGAATTCCAAAATTTATCGTGGTAAGTTTTTTTTGGCTCACCGAGTTTTCAAAGTTTTTCAAGATTTTTTTTGGCTCACCGATTTTTCAAGGTAACCTCGTTAAGTTTGTGATCTATCGCAAGTGGTACGAAGCTGCGCATCGGTATGATGTATGAACATTGCCGTTAAAATTTTAGTCTACTGAAGCCGTGATAAATCTTTCCAGGCGTCGTTTTTGTCCCTCTCCTTTTTATATACACTCGCAAAAAACGACACGAATTCAGAAAAGAAGGAAATAGTTTTCTTTCTTTTTAAATCACTTTGATTGGAACCTTCCTGCCTTTTGCACAGGAACAAGCTACCCTATTTGTTTCAAGGATGTGATAACTTTTGGTTTTTGCAGTAGAATTTGGGGTTCGAATTTGGGGTAGCGTGAGGCAACATATTCAAACATTTCAAACATAAGATTTTTGTGGAAATTTACAATTCTTCGTTAACTATTTTTTTGAGTCTCCATAGCTATTTGAATATGTGATTTTGTCAATCAATTTTAAATGGTCTTAAATATATGCCATGTATTACTTTCGTTTCTAAACACTTGCGATTGGATTGGTCTTTGTCATTACAACAGTTTTGATTTAAGCTCTCGGGAATTAACCTTAACATTACTTCTGTCGATTTAGTTTCAGCTCGATAAATATTTCTGAAAGCACATTTTACACGACGATTTTGTTTCTAGTGGTGTTTTGGTCAAAAGAAATATCAGTCTACACAAAATTTTTGTAGATGCTGTTTTGCTATGTTTTTGTTACCGCAACAAGGGGAAAAGCTCCGCTTCGCTTTTGTGTTTATCAATATTCATTTAATTCATTTAATTTGATATAAATTGAATGGTTCTTAAATTTGTGTCAGTGATACTTGTGTCAATGATACTTGTGTCAGTGACTAATTTTGTGTCAGTGCATAAATTGGATGGTACTTAAATTGTGTCAGTGATAGTTTTTCTTGGGAAAATTGTTTTCTCCGAATTTTGTTCGTCTTAATTAAATATTTTTCGTTTTAAGTGTCTTCATGCAAACAGATAAGTTTTTGGGGGCAAGCTTACAGTGGGCTCCCCTCTCAGACCCTTTCTAGCCAAAATATTCATGAGTAAGTTTTACAGTATTTTGAGTGAGAACAGACCTTTTTTTCCGCTACATGGGCGACATTCTAATGTCAGAGATATCAGTTCTTTTTACTCGCGCCAACGGTTTACATGGTAACTTGAAGCTTACAACTGAGAATGAAGTTGATTGAGAATGAAGTTGATATTCTCATCGAACGGAGGGACAGTTTTCTGTCTACTGAGTGGTTCCGGAAAAAGACAGACACCGGCCTGTGCCTCAACTATCACACTGTGAGTACGAGCAAGTACAAAAACTCCGTCGTTTTTGGTTTTGTACATCGAGTTTTTCGGAGTTGCTCTACCTGGACTTTTTTTGATGATTGTGTGAACAAGTTGAAGAACATTCTTGAGGGCAATCAATATCCACTTGCAGTTTACAATCCGATTATTCGCAAAAGCAATCAATAATTTTTTAATGGACAAGTCGGAAAACGAGAAGGCCGGTGTTACCAAGACCCGTGAAACAGGCAAACTGTTCTACCGCCTGCAGTATCGTGGCGTTGTTACTGACCAATTTATAAAGAAGTTGACTAGAGTATAAAAAGATGTTTCGTTTACTGTTATCCTTACAATGTCGAAACTTTCTACACTTCTTCCCTCTTTGAAATGCAAGCTACCGAAAATGGGACGCAGCAACGTAGTCTACAATATCACCTGTCCTGCGTGTAACGCAGGATACATCGGTCAAACGACTAGACACTTGATGACACGTGCACGCGAACATTCTCGGAAAAACAGCCCTGTTGGCAGCCATTTCATCACCTGTAGCGTTTCTGGGATCAACCAAAATTATAAACTCTCACGCCAACCAGAATATTTTGCTGACTCTAGAAGCACTAAAAATAGCTCAAAGACCACCGACAATCAATACGAAGGACGAGTACAGAAAGAAAGAGCTGAACATAAGTTTTAAATATCGAAGATGCAACTGTATTTGATTTTTTCCTGTAATTAAAAAAAATATTAGCCATGACGTTGTATATTTTCCTTAGCTTTCCTTTTTGCTTTTTTTTCCACTTTAAATTTTTATTCGGCCTTATTGGTTTCAGCGTTTGTTTAATTGGCTTAATTATTTTCTTTTGTGTCGCTTCATAAGCATAAAATAGTTAATTTTTTCGTAAATTTCAGGTACTTTGTGTTGCAAGATTTCAAAGTTTTAAAATTTAATTGCTCAAATTTTTTTCATGACAACAATTAATGGCCTTGTGTTCGACTTAATGTCTGTCTTTCCCTTTGTTATCGGCTTCAAGTAGCAGCTCGTTAAAGTATAAAAGCTTCTTTGTTTCTGGTGGTTGTGTTTTGCGACTTTTTTCTGAAATGAATTTCATTTTTCAATTTGTTTTTTTTTTCGATGGTATTAACGTCTCATTCACTAAGCGCTAACTTGCATTGTGTCGGAAGCGATACGAAGCTACGTTTTGCTTCTCTGCTATTGAATGGTTTTCATCTGTGCGGTGTAGTGGTACAAAATTTGACAAATATATCGGAAAATAATTATTTCCATTGGTGAAATAATCAGTATTTTATACAGATTTGTTCGACTAATTTCTTCTTTTGCCGTAACATTACCGGTTGCGTAGCTTGTTTTTACCTAGCATCAATAAAGATATCCAACTTTAAGGATGAGTTCAAAAATTTTTTATGAAAAAGAAGTTTCTTTTGCTATTTCTTTGAAAAAGTATTTGATTTTTTTAAACCGTTTGCCCGATTTCATTCTAAGCTGTTTGCAAAGGGCTATTCTTTGTTTTATTTCGATTTTTTTACGCCTGCAATTTTCATGCGTTATCCAATAACAACATTAATTTTTGTCAGATTTGTCAAAAGAATTTAAGGAAAAAGAAGTGTCTTTTGCTATTTCTTTGAAAAAATATTTTATTTTTAGAACGATTTGCCTGATTTCACTCCAAGTTGTTTGCAAAGGGCTGGTCTTTATTTTTCTTATGATTTCCATGCGTTATTCAATAGAAACATTTATTTTTGTCAGATTAACAGCTTGGTCAACAAAATCACTTAAATCACGGTGTGTGTACGCGTATGTATAGTTCTGTCATCAAACCACGCTCTAGAAACGACACTTATTTGAAAAACTTAGAAATTTGAACAAATTTTTTGTAGTTTTTTTTAATGTGGTCGGTACTTTTTGTGTTTTTGTGTTACTTGCACAGCAACCGGCTATCTTTTTCTCGTTTGGGTTTGGTAGTTTTGACTCGTGTTTATTGCAATGATATTGACTCATGATGGAATAGATAGGCCATGCCACAGAGTGGTGTACTCAAACGTTGTTCAAACACTGAATAGTGATCGCATTTTGTAATTTTTTGAGATCAGCTCCCTCCCTCGCGCTAATTATGTCTTTTAAGGTGGTGTAGCTCTACCGCTCCTACGTTATATACAAGTTGAAGTTGTTCAGTTTTACGAAAGGGATCAGTCTGCTTGAGTGGTTGAATAAATGATGCGATTCGTGTGGACCTATATTGTTAACAGTGCTTTTTTGGACACAAGCGGAGCTTTGCCCACCAGCAAGCGGAGCTTTGCTAGTGGGCACCTAGCTTTATGCGAGAGTTTGTTTTCTGCGAGTTTCTCTCCACGATTGGCCATTCCCAGAAGTTAACTATGGTGCTTCTCAATGTTCTCTAACAGTTTTTGTATGCATGTGATTGAGGCTTATTCTGTTTTGATTTAGGTTTAGAACTGAATCAGTTGGCAGGAGTTCAGCATTTCTTTGCTCGTATTTTTTTCACTGTTGCTTCCAGTATGCGTATGAGGTTTAGTTGTAAAATTTTATGATCTGCACGCTCGGGAAGAAGGCGTCCGAAGACGAATTGTTTGACAAGCATCTCATTATGCTTTCGAGCAGGAAAAGTTGCTTAAACGTGTACACCAAATAGGAGCGGAGTAGTTCATCTCGCTATCGCTGTTTGCTCGATAACTGATTTCTAGTGTTTCATTTTGGTTACTAGTTGGTTCCAGCAACTTTTTTGAGAAAATACTTCTCACTTGAACCCGTGCGGAAAAATCAAGAGTTATTGTTTCAAATATGAACATGTTATCTGAGGGACACCGAGATATTTTGAGTTTTTGATGTTTTAGGTCAGATCCTCCAATATCGACTTCAGTTTAGTAATTTTATTCGGCAGGCAAACAAGTAAAATGAGTTGACACAGATTTGTTTTCATTTAATTGCCTGTTTTTCAGCCAATCTTTCAGTTGATTGAGGTAAGAGCTAATTTGTGTTTGCAACTGAATTTTATGTAGACCGGATGGTAGGATTGCTATGTCATTAGCATTAGTGATTATCTGATTAGGTATCGAGCTCATATATAAGTTGAAGAGTGTGTTCGGGAGAATACCAGCTTGTGGTGCACGTGATTTAATTTTTTTTTTCATACCAGATTTTGCGTCTGGAAATGCAAGATATGCGAAGCGTTCCTATGGGTAAGATAAAAGCCATTGCTTGGTGTGCTGTGAAGTCTGAGTTATAGTTTTTCATGATTGAATCCTTTGATAACGTGATGATTGATACAATTACAATGAAGTGCCTATTGTATGTTTGAGTAAAGTTCCGATAAGATATTTTTTCCATCAGTTTGGTGGTTGGCACTAATAGTGCAACGGTCCGAAAATTTGGATTTCTATAAATCCTCTCCTGATTTGGGAAGAGGAATTATGCCTGATGTTTTCTTCCTGTGGGAATTGTGGCTGCATTGATAGAGATAGCTATATTTTATGCCAGTCTTATGCCATTTAGAGCGAGGTTAGGTAAGTGGATGGGGCAATTTGATCCGGGCCTAGGGCCTAAATCTCTCTTTATTATCAGTCGGCCTCCTTCTTTGACACGTTTTGATGGCGTCTGATTTCCTCGAAAAGGTTAAAGTTAAACAGATTACCTTAAGTATATTACCTTAAGAAAATTACCTTAAGTAAGTCACCAGGTCGCAAACAGTTCAAAGTAAGTCGCCATGTCGCGACCAGATCAAAAAGAATAAAAGAATGATTACTTGGTTGGTACGTTAAATTTTGATGTTTTTTTTGGCTGACCGAAAATTTTCGATCTGATAACCATTTCATTAATTTGTTTGGGCTGAATTTCTTTTATGCGCGTTTTTTTGATACAGTTAGTGAGTGGAGTTGTCTCATTGTTAGTATCAATTAATGGTTAGACTCAAACCCAGTGAAATGTAGGACAGTGTCAGGGCAGCCTCGATTTGTACCATTTCGCTTTTGCCGTGCTTCATCAGAGCCAGAAGAAATCTGAAAGTAAACGAAAACAAGTTTAAAATATAGTCGTGGCTTATACCAACGGTTGAAATTGTAGTTTGATATCAAAAACTTGAAAGTTATGAAAAACTGAAATGTTAAGTCAAAGAGTTTTCCAATTTTGCAATAGTTTTGACTGAGAGTTACTATATCAATAAGAGTAATAACTTGTGTGATCTGGAGTCCAAGACGTGTTTCTGGTTGCTTTTCACAGGCAGCAGTCCGATTCCAGCCACCATCTTCCGCATAGCTCTGATCCCCCCTATCACAATTCTCTCGTCCTGGTTTCGGAACAGACGGTTGAGGGGAATTATGCCCCCTTGGTTTCCTATTTCCTCTGCTCTTCCGAAAGGACCTTCACATGCGAGCGCCAAACCCTCACTACATAAATATAAACATGTTGAACTCAACTCTAACATTTCAACGAAATCGGATGAATTTCTTTCAAAAGACACCCACTTCGTTAGTGTGTAATTTTTTTTGCGTTTCCATGGAAAGTAAAAATACCGCGCAAATTTCTTTAATGAATTTGAGCAGTAATCGGAATTTTTGGTGCATGGACATTTGTGTTCCAGAACCTTTGTGTCCTTGATGAAACAGCCCGAAATTTAAACAAAACTACCAGACTATTAACAAAGTTGACCGAAATTATTTCGCAAAATTAATTTCTTTGACTTGACCTTGTGATCTTAAATGTTTTGTTCTTTTGTGTTTGTTTGATTGTTCTATAATTAGATGCAATGCGTACCAATTAACCCTAGAAAAGTCAAAGCCACTCAAGTTTTGAAATTTGAAATTTTAAAGCGCTTTTGATCGAGCTGTCCAGTCAGTAGTGTTCGAGATCAAAACGTCGGATGTTCAAATCTCGGGTCCGACAAAATTTTCGTAATTTAGTTCAAATTCGAAATTGAATAACCCCAAATGGGGTAATAAGTTATGGCAAGATCGATACGGGTTGACTCGGTTGGGCCAAAAAGGAAGGGGATGGTAAAAGCTTTGTTACATTGATCATTTAACGGTTTTCAAAATAGGTGTGACTCGATTTTGAAACTATCGAGGAAAAAATTTCAACTTAGCAAAATTTATTGATCTCTTTTGCTTTACAATATCAGCTTAGGAAAACAAATCGACTTTGAATCATAGTTTAATGTTGTTGCTGCGCCCTTTTGGGTCGTAGGTTGCAACTAACTCGGAACGGTTCACGTCAAGTTTTGACCTTTCTCCGATCAGGATTTCGTCATTTTCCTGTTCATATTAGAACTTTTTGATGAGCTTCGGAAGTAAACGCTTTTTTATTGCTTTTTCGAAATCAATGGTTGCTAGTTTATGAATATCAGTCGAAACCGATCAAAAACGAATATAGCTTTCTTCCTTTTTACCGGGAAGCAATGCATACACAATAGGGATCAGAATTTCCTCGACTGATGCGTGTATGGTGTATATCTGAAAGAACACACTCGGGGCCGTAGAAAAGGTGCCATCGATGATTCAATCATCAGCGCCTCTGAAAAGATCTAGTCCTGGAAGAGGGTGAAAAAAATTATTCGCGTTAAATCATTAGATCTAGAATCAAAATGAAGGAAGCGCTCGCCACTGCGTGTCTTTTTCAGCAGCTCGGAAAGTTCAAAATCTTTTAAGAATTTTGGTTCCTGCATTCTGGGCCGTCTCTCCTGAATTACTCTGTTAGCGGTCCTCTGGTTGGCCGAATAGCTCGGAGTTCTTGCTGCAATGTCTTGATGTCTCTGGACGGAGAGAATCGCTTGATGTGGTGGCTCATCTGCAACGACTGCTTTGTTTTGAAGAGGTTTTCTGAATTTCCGTTTCTCAATATCGGCTGGACCCGGAAGATGACTAACATCATTTATATTAGTGACTTCTCTTGAAAAGAGCACACATGATCATTGCATTTGGATAAAACACATCGCCACGAGTTGAGGTGTCTGTTAAAATCGAGGTGTCTGTTAAAATCGATGTTTGAAGTATGCTTATGCATCATGAATCAGCGTTTCGTTGTTTTCATTTGTGATAAGGATTTCCATTGTTAACGCTAACACGAGAGCAATAATAATAACACTCATGCCTAAAATAGGCAAAAGTATCAATATAGAATTAATTGTGTATGTATGTGTAAGTGGTTTGAGTCCTGTTTTAATTTTGTCTCTATGCTTAAAGAAAATTTAAGCCTTGTTGCTCAATTGCGTGGGCTCGCCGAAATATTCCCTCCTATTGATAGCTTATCAATTTAATCCTTAGTCGTTAACTAGTGTAGCAATCGGCCGGACAATTTTTGAACAATTTTTTTTCTGGGGAGCAAATCTCTTGGACAGTTTTTACTTTTTGGACAGTTTTCACGGGACATATAAATTTCTGGGGTACTTAAATCCAGACATGGAATTTTCATTCTCAATTTAAATTATTTCACCTTGAAAATACTTACTGGTTGTTGATAAAAACTGAAATAAAATTAGCTAGTGAACATATCTCTATGATTTTTAAGGAATGCAGTCTGTAAGTAGACAACCATGGATTCATTATCAGGAAATAGACAAATAGTGTTTTAACCAGTCAGAATCGAGATGTGAAAGCAAACTCAGGAATTAAATAATTATTTTTTTCGTACCTTTGCTTGTTTGTTTAGATTCTGATTGGTCAATATAAAAATTGTCAGCCTACTGCTACGTAATCGATATTTAAATAAGTTAAGTGGTGGAACAAACCTGGCCAATTGAAGCAACTCGTTTTCATCAGTACTCATGTAGTCCAACAGCAGTCGAATGCCGATCAAGTCGCCAATGTGTCGCTTCCGATTCACATCGTCCCCCGCCAGAGCCCACAGAGCACTGCTGCACGACAACTGTACCCGGTTCTGTCTACTCTTCTTCAGAACTGTGGAAATAATAATAATAATGATAACAATAATGTAAATAAATTACATTAAAATTATTTTTGTTTTTGTTATTCTAATATAATAACAATGAAAAAAATACATTATTTTTAGGATAGTAAAAGGAGATCTTCAAATAATAAACAAACTGTATTATAAACGTTAAGTTGCAAGTTCCCTTTGTGTTTTTTTACTAGCTTACACTATAATGGCATATATATTTTTTCGATGATAATATCTCTGTGAAGTTTGCAAAATTATACAATATAATCACAATTGCTTTTGGGATGCTCATTTTTTCTGCTGAAATCGGGTCTTCGTTAGATCGTGCTTAAAGTTTAGATAAAGACCATTTACCTGTGACGGAAGTGGCCAACAAAAAAGCTGCTTTCAATTTTAGACAGCACAGAGAACTGATGCTGCTTCGCAATTTGAAAACTGAATGAATTTTGTAAAAATAATTTTTCAAAGTGGTTGTCGATCTGTTTTCATTGTGGTCTTTAAGTTGTTCACAACATCCTTTTCGGTTAATTTCAATTAGACCCGAATTAATTGAACGAAATTTTAAATCTAACACGAGGCATTTTTAATTCAACACGTCAAAAAATGGTCAAATTTTTTGTCAATCTAAGAATCACTATTTGCTGCCGGATTGCCATGCTCAAGGTCATCAATATTACCAACAGTTTGGCATTAACAAGATAATTTTGTATTCATAATCGTAGAACAAAATCCCACCTTGATTAATTGGCTGTATGGCGTTTTGAGCTATGGCAATCTCCTGACTCTCTGGATTTTGGGATACCAACAGTTTGAGTGTGTCGATGCAAGACAGCTGGGTGTTTTTTTCTCGTTGATTCTTGGCGTGATGTAGGAGGGCTTCAGTAATGCGTCCTTGTGATACAATCAAGGTTTGATTTTCTCTGTTCTTCCTGAAAACGTGCAAAAAAGTCAAAATAGATGTCGAATCGAGAAGCGTTGAGGTCGTGTCACGTTACCCTATTAGTCCGCAAAGTATTCAGCTGTCCGATTTTATTCGTATGTGACATCTAAATTTTTTGAAGAAGGCGTAAAACTTTACATTTCATTTCAGTTCAAACTTCGATCGATTTGAAAATATGCTTATAATTTTTTAAGATTTTTTACTTATAAGCGTTGGGTTTTTCCTTATAAAGACAGCTTTTAAGATTAAGTTTCGGATGCAATGTTTTTACCATATAAAATTCTTCGAAATCTGTGGAGTACTTACTCGCAGATTTTCTGAATCATAGTATTCAAATTCTCGACCATAGTTTCACTAGGGAACTTCTCGTACAGCTTCACAATTTCAACCAATTTCGAGAATCCTCTAAACTCATCTTGAATTTCTTTTTTCACTTTTAGCAGCTCCTTTTCATAACCGAATGAGTCTTCCGAGTTATGAGATGCATTCAGCTCCGAAGTATTTTCATCTTCAGAATTTTCGTCTTCTTCTGTTTCCGGTTGAACAAATTCTTGTTGATCCTTTTCCGGTTTCGGAGCCGGTTTTGCGACGTAGCATTCCTCGTTCGTCAGTAGTGTTAGCATTTTAATTAATACCAATAAAGTTCCTTCTGCAAGCATAGGGTCCAACATGTTTTCAAGGAGAACCGTTATACCACCTTTAGTTCGTAGCTTCCTGACCCCGTTTTCAGTGTCAAGAGATAATTTTGCCAGAACCTCGAAAAGCTGGTGGTACAAAGACGGCAGTAGTTGTACATTAGAATGGGAGCTAGGATCATTTGCAGCTTGTTTTCCATGGATGGATTTAAATGTTTTGGCGAGGGAGAGAAGGAATTCAACCATTCCGTACTTTTCCAAGCACAGATTTCTGAAGGGTTCCAGTTTGCACAAGTTGAACACCCAGTTCAAGCATGTGCTCTTCTGGCCTAAAAAGTTCAATAACATCTCAGCATTTTCGAAGTGTGGTTTCATGAGAAATGTCTTTAGTTTCCGCCTGAAGTTCAGTACGCGCAGTTTGCCGAATTGCTCAAATAGTTTTTGGAGCAGTTTAAGCAAAAATTTTTGTTTTTTCAAAGTATATTTTCTTTGTTGAGGTAGTGAAAGATTTTGCAATTTTGTATGACAGTGAATGGCTGTTCATAATTACACTCACGAGAGCAAGTGTCTTGTGATTTTTGGTTTTCAGTTCAATTTGGCCAGCATTTTTTTTCAAATTTATAACCATTGTCATCTATTTTTTTGTATCTTTGCTTTTTCTATTGTTGATTTTTTATTGCAAAAATGAATCAGCCATTTTTGTTTGGAAGAAAAAAAAATTATCCAAAATGTAGTGAGTAGTTTTGACTCAAATTCACTCTTTTTGTGCAGCAGTTTGACGTACGTACCTAAACCGATATCACTTTGAGTAATCTTCTTGAGACTCTTGACGAAATCGTTTTCCATCATTTCATTCCAGAGGAGCTGAAGCGACACCTCACGACTCAAGAGAACGTCGACGAAGTTAATTGCGTTAAAAGCGACCGAATCGTCTGTAGATTTCAGCTGGTCCATCAACGTTTGAACTGGATACAGTTTGTCGTTATGCTCTTTGAAAAAATAATCAAAGACTTCCGAGTTTTGCTCCTTAATTGCGATTTCTACTGCGTTGCGCCCTTTTCCATCCACAGCTGTTATATTCGCTTTAAAATCCAGTAATTGGCGGATGACTTCTGGCTTGTTTCCGAGGACCCCACACAGCAGAGGGGTACAGCCGATAGTGCCGTTCTTGCTTTTACCGCCGGTCAGGTGTTCTATACTTTCGGGATATTCTGCTAAAATTTTCTCAATTTGTTTTTTGGATCCTTCAAAGGCGGCGTGATGAATTGCATCCCACGATCGCTCGTCAAAATCCATTATCGAAATGTTTAATGTATGGCTTCGTAGATTAAATTGTAAAGCTTGTAAAATGCGTGATTCTGACCGTTAACGTAATTTTGAATATGCACAAGAATGTTATATAATGTAAGTCGTGACAATCTGGCACGTTTTAAATTTTTGAAGTCAAAATGTTTGCTTTGATAAGTTTTGCGTTTACATTAAGACTTGCCAATAAAATAAATTTTTACATGTATGTAGACTCAAAAAATGTTTAAAAGTGACGTTGTTTTGTTTTCAGACTGAAATATGTGAATGCCATTTAAACGCAGTCTTGGTTTTTGTAATTAGCTATGACCGACCGATTTCCAACCTCAAAAGCGCCTAGCTCATCTAAGTCATCATCTCGCAATAATCCCGGAAGCATCGTTTCTAGTAAATTTGCGCCTGATTTTTCAGTAACTTCTTCCAAAGAGTTTTTCCCTACACAAGTTCAAGTGAAGTTGAGTGATTCAGAAAGTTTTCACGTGTATTTGCATTCATCGCCTGAGAACCAAATAGCAGGTGAAGCAACCGAGGAGCCCCAGAACAAGACAGCGAAGGGAGCGAGGCCTGTGATCCCAGGACTGTGCGCGGACCCGAACTCTATTCTAGGTTAATAAGAGGTATATGAGTTAGTTTCTTCATAGGTTTAAGTTTTAAAGGCAAGTGGAGTTGAAGTTCTGAAATTTAATTTGAATTTTATATTTCCCTGTAGAATAAAATATAATGTGATTTTCGGATATCTGAACTGACAAAATACAGTTTGATCAGTTTTCTCAAATTGGGTTTTATATATATAAAAGAAAACTTTTTCTGAGGTTGAATTAGCTTAAAGGCAATGAAATCCTTATAAGCTCAGAAATTGAAACAATGTAATTTGTTTTGTCTGTGTAAGGTTATTTTGTTGAATTTTTTTCAAGAATCTGAAATTTTTCAAACAACGAAATTGAGAAATCACTTTTAACTATGAATGTTTTCGGAAAACTTGCTGGTTTTTGGGCGAGCTGGCTTGAGCTCTGTCTGTTTCCTACTTTGTCTGTTTTGCTTGTGGAAAATCACAGATTGTTGTTCCAGGGATTTTTTTTGGAATATGGATTTCACGTATCTTAAGGTCAATCTATAGGATTTTAAGGTCAATATGTGAATTCTGTAGGCTCTTTTATCGAGTTCATTTCCAATACTGGTGTCTGTTTTTTTTGCAGTCGTTCTCTGTCTCCATGGTGCTGGCTTCTCCGGACTCAGCTGGGCGCCCCTGGCAAAACATCTGGACCTCAGTCTCCTAAACACCCACTTAGTCGCCATCGATCTCCGGGGTCACGGACGGAGCGAAGCGTGGAACGTCTCAGCCGAACACGACCTCTCATTCGAACGTCTAGCTTCTGACGTATGTGATGTATACAATGCTCTATCGAGGGAGAAATACGTGCCATCAAATATGGAAGGGGAGGATGGGAGAATCAGTAATAAAGTGAAACTGTTTGTGGTGGGGCACTCGATGGGAGGGGCTCTGGCGGCGTACATTGGAGCTAACTGCAGAGACAGACTGGCTAATATAGCGGCCACTTGTGTCATCGATGTAGTAGAAGGTTTGTTACCGACTGTCTGATTGTTTTGAACAAACTGACTGTAGTTTGAAGCTTCATGAATTAAAGTAAGCAACATGAATGGTTCTTGGAAAAGAAAATTATTCCTGGTAGATCACTTGGCTGAGAAACCTCTACACCTCTACTTTTAGCCATTAGTTGGCTCAGGGTTCTCATTAAGAACTGCTACTGAGTGATTCCAATCAAAAATAACGAAAAGAGTTACGGTTTTTAAAAAGAATTAACCGTTCAAACCAAAAGAGCATTCACGAACGTTTCAAGGTCAATCAGCCAGAAATACATGAAGCATGAAGGGTAGATATTACATAATTTTGTAAGAAGAGAAACATTGAAATTTAACTTCATAGTCTTGACTGAGGCTTATTTGTTTTTCTTTTGCAGATAGTGAGTTCGTTTTTGAACAGAGTTCATTGTTTTCTTTAAATTGAAATTGATGTGAGTGATCTCGTTCCTAATTATGGCACCTATTAAAAATTATAAGGCATTAGTAAAACTCATTGAATTCATAAATATGTGCTATGTAGTCAAGAGTTTCTCTTTCATTTTGCAATGCAAGGGGATGTCCCGGCAAATGAGACGTCAGCTTGTTAAATATCAATCCTTTTTTTTAATTGGTACTTTGAGACGATGCTACAGGCATTTCTCCTATTTTGTTTCTGAGAAACATAACCCTCAAATTCGAATAGTCTTAAACTAGTATACGAATAACGCTCATTTGTCTGAATGTCATGTTTTAATGTCATCGTTTTGCTGTCATGTCGTCTGTCTTGTTTACAATATGGGAGGTGTTGGTTTGGGTGAAGTTGAATTACGTGAGCAGTTTTGGGTAATTTAGGATCGGCAATGAATGCGCTGAGTGGCATGAAGAGTGTGTTGCAATCGAGACCGAAGTCTTTCTCTTCCTCTCAACAGGCGGTCGAGTGGGCTGTCAGGAGTGGCTACATCAAGAGAAGAGAATCCGCCAAAATATCCATGATCGGACAAATCACCAAGAGCACGAGAAGAGGTAACTTTCACTGAGTATAAAAACGACAAAAGTACTATGGGTCAGGGGCGGATCTAGGATTTTCTCGAGGGGGGGGGCGGATTTTCAAAAAATTTTCCAAAATTTTGATGACTTTTTTTGTTTTTTTAGGTCAACCAAATTGATTTTTCGAGCTCTCTCAAAGCACTGTTTTGCCCCTATTTTGGCAAAATTTTCTGCGCCGCAGGCAAATTTTTGAAAAAACAATCAAAAAGCCGTTTTTGGGCACTTTTTGAAAAAATTTTACAAATTAATCGCGTTTTTTTTGGCGCGCGCTCCCCCTCAAAGTTAGTATATATTGGCGCCTTTAGAAAAATTTTAGGGTCGGTCGGCCAAAAATGGATTTCTGAAAAAGTATCAAAGGGGGGACCCTTTGGGTCGGCAGGGTTACTTTTTAACTAGCAATTTTTGACGGAATTTTTTTATTCAAAAGGTATTGCTGTCCTGAGCTTAAATTTGACAAGATATTTCACATGTCATCATCTTTTGTAAAGTTATGCGGGTTTAAAAATTGCTCACGATTTATCGTGAGAAACGACTTTTCTCACGATAAATTTTTTATGTCGTTCAAATCACGACTGAAAAGGTTTTAAGGTGATATATCGCTCGATCCAATCCAATGATTACACAACCATAGCTTGTGTTATAATATGAATTATCTTTTTTTTCCAATCTAAGTCGCAAATATTGTTGCGACGCAAATTTTGTTGCGATAAAAATGTTTAAAGTGTTCCTTTGAATCAATAACAGCCATTAAGTATTAAGTACAGCCAATGCTGAAGATATTAACACCGACCATTATTGTTCCGACTTTCGTAACGAAAGCAGCGGAATATTTGTGCTCGGGGTGGTTTTTTTTTAAGTTAAGTTTCGACTTTTTAACTAGCAATTTTTGACGGAATTTTTTTATTGAAAAGGTATTGCTGTCCTGAGCTTAAATTTGACAAGATATTTCACATGTCATCATCTTTTGTAAAGTTATGCGGGTTTAAAAATTGCTCACGATTTATCGTGAGAAACGACTTTTCTCACGATAAATTTTTTATGTCGTTCAAATCACGACTGAAAAGGTTTTAAGGTGATATATCGCTCGATCCAATCCAATGATTACACAACCATAGCTTGTGTTATAATATGAATTATCTTTTTTTTCCAATCTAAGTCGCAAATTTTGTTGCGATAAAAATGCTTAAAGTGTTCCTTTGAATCAATAACAGCCATTAAGTATTAAGTACAGCCAATGCTGAAGATATTAACACCGACCATTATTGTTCCGACTTTCGTAACGAAAGCAGCGGAATATTTGTGCTCGGGGTGGTTTTTATTTTAATTAAGTTTCGACTTTTTAACTAGCAATTTTTGACGGAATTTTTTATTCAAAAGGTATTGCTGTCCTGAGCTTAAATTTGACAAGATATTTCACATGTCCTCATCTTTTGTAAAGTTATGCGGGTTTAAAAATTGCCATTTCGGTCAATTTGGGAAAATTAATGCGCGATATATTTCGCGCTATTAACGCGTAAGCGGAGATTTAATCGTTCTTGGAAGTCAGTCCATATTGGTTGAAGGAAGCCTATTTGCCATAACTGATTTGTTACTAGGAGTGAAAGTTATCATTTGTAGTTTATATGGCGTGTGGGGGGATGATGTTTACAAAAGTCTCAAATTTTAAAAAATTTAATTTTCGTTTTATTTTAATTAACATTTATTTTTTTTTCATGTTATTACTGCTCCATATACCTTAAAAGGCAGTCAGAAGATTCAGTGCTTTGCCCTGATACGAGCAGTTTTGTATTACAATTAGCACTTCAGCTTCAAGGTATCATGGATCTGTAACGTAGAGGTAGGGAGGAGAACCGCAACAAAATAAGAGGGTTCAAACCTGGGCAGGGTCGGATGTTTTTAATGAATTTTTCCGTATACTAGCTAAAATGTGTCCGCTCTATAAATTGAGGCATGTGCAATTGATAATATTTCTCCTTTTTCAAATTGACTGGTACTGCTAATGCGTCGTAATTGGCTTGCGTCACTTAAAAAATTTTGTAGACTCAAAGTTTTACTCATTCAGTTTTCCCAGTAGCGTTATCAGTCATATTTTTGCTTGTGTATGCGAAGTGCAACTTCGCCTCTGTGTTATCTTTGGTACTTGGTTTTGCGTGGAAAACAAAAAAGAAAAGGAAACCTAAAAGACACCCGAATACAAAATTCCTCTCCAATTTTCAAATGGTCGGAACAATAACTGTGATGTCCAATTAGCCTATTTTGATATCAAGGCGGTAGTCTACAATTTTGATTTTGTAGTTCTTTTTCTCACTACCAACCTGGTATGCCGAGTATCTAAACATTTCTCATCCAAACAACCCTAAGTTTTACTATCTACTTTAATCAAGAGTACAGTGTAAAAGTCAAGCTGTTGGATTTCACTGAAATCAAGAAATCTATGTTTGCTTTGTTCTCTGGAGTTTTGAGTTTACCTCCACAATTAATCATCAGCACAGATGACTTCTCATAAGCAAAGGAAGAAAAAAAATTAGAAAAATTATAAAATATATTCAATTAATTGATGAATATGTGCTGCATAGATTTTTTCTAATTTTGTGGTTACTCTAGGGTTTGTATATAAAATTATTGTTGTTAAGTTTACTTAGTTGTGGGTTTAGTTGAACAGAAGTCAACAGCAACATTCGGGTCTCTCCAGGAAGTGGAAAACGATGATGATGTCGACCAAAACTACATCGAGCCACCAAGCGAGACCAATCATAATATTCCAATAACTACAGAAGACAAGCAGCCTAATCAAAACGAAGCTGCGTTGACACCAGAACATCTCAAAACTGATGATGGATTTTACCCTAAATGTGTCTTAATTGACGTTGACAAGCAGGAATCTAGTCGCGACGATAATTGTTCGTATTCGTGGAGAATTGATCTCTTCAAAACTGAAAAATTCTGGACCAGTTGGTTTGTAGGACTGACCGAGAACTACTTAAGTTTCCCCGGACCGAAGTTGCTAATTCTTGCAGGAGTCGATCGACTGGACAAAGAGCTAACAGTTGCCCAAATGCAGGGCAAATTCCAGATGTTGGTTTTACCCAAAGCTGGCCATGCCGTGCATGAAGATGTCCCAGATTTGGTAGCAGATGCTCTGGCTACTTTTGTCCAGAGAAATAAATTAGCACCGACAGTCGAAAGCGGATTCTCAAGAACAAATGCGGGTTGCTGATGTACTTTCAAATTGACTGTTGACTCAAAACTACTCTTCGTGAAATTAAATATTAAAATAACATGCGTGGGTCGAGGTCTGCTACGTTTTTAGATCGAGCACAGCAGTACAAATGATTTAAAAAACCAGCCTAGCTTTTTAAGATCGAGCACAGCTGTACAAATTGTTTAAAAAACCAGCCTGATACATATTGTTTTAAAAAACCAGTGCCAAACTTATTAACATTTTGTTGGGCCCACCAGATATTTTGTGACTTTTGATTTGGGAGCTTCGAGGGATGCGGGTTTTTACGTTATCAATTTGGAATATAGACTTTTTTTCGGGTCAACAATTATTTTAACAAAATCATTTGAATCAGTTTAGTTTGGTTCAGATGAAATCGAAAGTCAGAGGTTAATGCATCGCACTTGGTCAGGAGGTAATATAATTGCATTTGAATCATTATGTCAGGGGTTCGAGTTCCGGGCGGATCTTGTTTTTTTTCAGTGTCTGAAATTGGACAACAAAAAAACTACATGTAATTTACAGAACGTAGTATTTTTGCTGGAGTATAAGTTAGACAAATTTGCCGCCAAATGTGGTTAGTGAAATCCGAACGTGTTTTCCCGTTTCCTCTGGTCTTGACTAAATTTAGCAGACCCTGACTTTTTGCAGCTCTGTTTTAATATCCCTGCATGCTAAATCCCCCCTGCCGCTTCGCTTGACAAGGCGTTTTTTAGCTTATATTTTTATAGTAGCTGTTGATTATTATTCTCAGGCATCTTTTATGTCAAATATAGTTCAGATTTGAACCGTTTTTTTTATAATAGAAAACTTTCGTTTTATTTTCCTTTCACCTGGTAAAGGCTCAATTTTGTCGCGATTTTCGAAATAGGGGAAAATGTCGCAGGCCTCGATTCTTTTTATTATTTGAAATCTTTTCAAACTGAATTGAATATTTGTACATATGTTTTCTGTTGAGTATCGTTGCATAGTGACTCTTAAGATGAGGGAATGTTGTTGTTCATCTGTTAATAAAGCAGAATGGAATCAACTAAGTGAAATTAAATTCTAATACAATGGAAGAAATAGCCACATAAATCATTTAAAAGTTCACTCATCTATGCTTGCAAATCATTAATTTATATTCGTATGACCAGTATTTGAGTTCATCCATTCTTTTCTCTAGTTGTTTTTCGGAGTGAGAAGAAAATAGGGTGATTTTTTTCAACAAGAAAAACGGGTTTGAACATATATGGTGCTCTGACATTTCGAGTTTTGTTCTTTTATGTACACCATTCTGTCTTAACTTAAAACAGATCTATTTAAATTGATTGTTTTCCAAATGTTATAAAATCTGTGGATCTATCATTTGACTTGAAAAAATGCGAAGCTCGATTTGAAAAACTTCAGAACAAAAATTGTTTGTTTTCCATTTTTTAAATGATAAGTTTTGTCAGAGTTTTAGGTTCTAATTGTACGGCGAAAGGCTATGTCATAACCTTAGCAAATCAGGTTATCTCATTGAACTTTACTATCAAAGATTATGACATAGCCTTACGCCGTGCAATTAGAATCTAAAACTCTGACAAAACGTATCATTTAAAAAATGGAAAACAAACAATTTCTGTTCTGAAGTTTTTCAAATCGAGTTTCGCATTTTTTCAAGTCAAATGATAGATCAACAGATTCTAATAGATAATAAAATAGATCTGATTTAAGTTAAGGTTAGCTCATTGAACTTTACTATCAAACAAGACCAAGAAGTAACTATTAAAGTTAAGTATGGATTGTTCCTAACGGAAATTTTCTGTTATGGTTCTGGATTCTTATGTTATACTGTACACAGCATTATTACACTTACTAATGGTGTTCTTGCCTCGTGGGAGCAATAAAAAGCTCTCAACATTGCAAGCGAACCCTATGAGCCCCCCTCCCCTGTTGCTCGCTTTTTCAAACATTGAACAATAGTCCGGCTCGTTTTCATTCATACCATCAGCATTCACTTGCAAAGGATTCTGCTGGCAACTGGCACTCGTTCTTCTTCGGAACATGATGTCATAGAGGACGACATGGCGCATCAATGGAATTATTAGTCAATTATCAATCAATGCTAGAAAGCATTGCTTAATTCGTCAACTGTTGCTTGATCAAGAATGGTAGCCGTCACGTCATTCTTCAAATATTGATCAAAGCTAGGAGATATCACTCGATTCATCAATTGTTGATGAAGGCTAGGAATTTTTTTTAGTCAACTGTTGATAGGGGCAAGGACGCATTACGTCATTCGCTAACTGTCCAAAGTTTTGAGGTATCATGGCAATGTGTTATAGTACAAACTTTCTTTTTTTTAACCTATGTCGAAATTATTGATGCGAACTTTGTTGCGACTTGAAGCAACAATATTTGCTGCATCGATTTGGCAATACAAAATGTTTGGCAACTTGTTGGACTTTTGCAGCTTATTGATAACATGTGCTTTACATTCGAATAGTTATAAGTTTACACAGTTGATGCATTTTTAATTCATCAAGTGAACCGAAGAAAGCTATTTGTTTCAAACAACATAACAATAATAAGATCTGAATTTCAGAAATTTTCTTAATCAATTTATATCGCAATTTTTGAACTGCATAATGTGGCTTTATGATTTGCAACTTATTACATGCAAAATTATATCTTTTGTATTTGGTGCTACTTTTGCTGCATCGAATTGGCAAGTTATTTGCATATGTAGCTGCCTTATTGGTGGCTAGTTTTAGGGGATTTTTAGCTTTCCGTGGCTGAATGGTTAGTGCGTGAGACTTAACTTTGCTAGGTCTCAGGTTTTAACTAATTGGAATTTTTGCTAAGCCTCAAGTTTTTGCAAATTTGAAGCTTATTTCTACTTTTTCTTATATCACTTTATAGAGATGCTTTTTGGTCGTGTTCTCGTAAGTGTTTGCAAAGCGCAGCTTCGCCGCTGTGTTTTAATCATGCTGATCAACTATACTAAACCATTAATAGTTTAATCTAGCTACCAGCAGCAACAATAGCTGTAATAATAATAATAATAAAATGCATAAAACCTTGTTTTAAACTTTTTCAAGTCCTTGCCGCTACAAGTCATCACATGGTAATAGAAGTAATCGCTGTGACGGCGATACAAATTCATGCTTAAGTAGACAAAAGTAGGGATATTTTAGTTAGTTATTCCAGATTATTTCGAAGAATTTTGCATGGGCTGACGTCTGCTGACAGTCATCACGAACGACCAACATTGGGCCAATTAATTTAAATTTAGTTTAAAAAAGAAAAGATAGCCGTAAAGAAGACAAGAGATTGAAGAAAAAGAAATGGACGGAAAACGTAGCAGTTATTCGAACATCAGAAAGCCAGAGGATTACCTTAAAACGGAAGCATTCATGGTTTTCTTCCAAAATTATTTTGGATCAACTCTTTGGTTTTTCAAGCTGTTAAAAAGCGAGTTGCTGGGAAAATTTTCACAAAGTTGTCAGGATCTTATCAAATTAGGATATGTCATTGACTTTTACTGTCAAACAAACAATACCAAGAAGTAACGATTATTGTTTCATTATGGATTGTTTTCATTGGAAATTTTGCTGTTTCGATTTTTATGTAATACTGTAATTATCATGATTTTAATCAGGCTGATCAAATATACTAAAACTACTAATTGATTAGTCCAGCTACAAGCAACAACGATAGCTGTAAAATTTTAATTAAATACAATTTCTCCGATCCTTACCGCTACAAGTCATCACAGGCTACTTTTGTTTTGTTTCAGCATTTTTTCGGTTTCTAGTCTCTAGCTTCCATGAAAGGCAATCTCGGTTTTTAGAGTAGCTATATTTGCTTTCCATTTTGTCATATTTTGACAAATCAGTAACGTGTTAAATTTTTCAAAGCCAAAGCGGATGTTTTATGGCAAATTGTTTTTTTCAACCTAACTCGCACAAATCAGATCCCAGCAATTTCGCTCATTTTCAGTATTTGTGCTGCTTAGTGTTAAACATCTTCAATTACCCAAAATGAGTTAAAACTGCGTAAACAAAATGTTGTTACAAACGGCAATATTAGAACATAAATTATAAGTGAACAAATAAGTGACAAAATTATCATGATTTAATCAACGCAAAAGCAGCATCGTTACTACCTCAAGGATCAGGCAAATGTTCTCTGGAAATCATAGTGTAACGTGGAATGCGAAAGAGGAGTTTGCTGTAGCAGACTGCTAAAGATACTGAGCGAGTCTATAATATTGATGCTTGAAACAGTATTGAAATCGTTTACAAGTCAACTACTCTGTAAAATTAGGCTTAAATATCAAAGTTTTGTGAGCAAATCGCTGTTTTAGTTGTAAGACATGTGTGCTTCGAAGTTTCCTTGTTGAGTCGTCAAAACAAAAATAAAGCTCCAAATGAATGCAATTCAGGCCTTGTTTATTTTTGGTGAAAAAGGAGAGAAGATTTTTGGTAAGTTCAAAGGAAATTGGCAGTGAAGTTGAAAATTCGCAGAGCTTCTGATAGCCTAAGAGACCATATGACCATTTAATCCGCTGATGATTTAGCTATTCTAATTTTCATATTGAGCAGAGACTCGGAAACTTCGCAGGATAACCGTATAAAATTCCTGCATTACACATGTTTTGAATAAAATAAACTTCATAAAATAAACTTCATAAACAGTAACAGCTATGACAATCAGTCCCGACAAGCATATCCTCAACAAACACGAGAAGTAAAAGAAGTCCCGAAGCCCTCCTTGAGGAAAGTGTTCTATCAACATCAACTTTCCGCGAGCGATTTTTCTTCTTCATCAAACCAAAAAAAACGAACTTCAAAAGAAGAAGCGATTGATCTAACGCGTCGAAAGCTTTGAGAAGTTTCCAGCAAAAATACAAGTAGTTTTGTCGCTGTTGAGTGTTCTTGCGAAAACAATGTTGACGCGGGTTGTTTTTGTCCTTGATAACCGAATAAATGTAATCAAGGAGAAATTTCTCAAGAGTAAGGGACAATTTTGGCAAAGACACGGGACGATAGTTCTCTGCCAATGCCTTGAATTCCTTTTTTGAACATGCGTGATGTACACACACTTCCATCAATCTGGCCATATCTTAATCAGAAAGATGTGATTAAATATGGAATAAACAAACAAGGAGACACCATAGTCTCCACTACATAAAACAAGGGAAGGCAGGCTATCAGACTCTGCAGTCGAGCTATTCGTGAGGCGACTGAGGCCATTTTGAAAATCCGCTATTTTTAAAAACCTTTCACTCAAAATAACTTCAGCATGCGCATATTTTTCGCTGATAAGAGTATCTGTTGCATCTTTGAGAAAAAATGAGTTAAAGTTAAAGTTGAAAAGTTCAGCCTTTTCGTAAAATGTTACATCTTCCAAACTGTTTATAATTAGTGTAGACGGAAGGGACTTCCTAGCGTGTAAATTTTTGAGCAACGAGAAAACTTCGTTTGTGGTATTTCTACTCGAAGTTGAAAGCTGACACCTGATTCATTTCTGCGAGACATTTTTGTCACCTTCCAGCCGTCTTATTCTATCGATACTCGTAGCTCTAAGTCTTGCGCTTTCTAGCTTGTTCGAGTGATGATAAGTAACCGAGATGTAAAAGAATGGGAAATTGCTTATTTATTCTGCTTTTGTTTTCCTCCCTGTGGTTCGAATCTTGCAGCGAAAAAATGTTGTGCAATTTGATGCTCCTCTTTGCCATTTTTAGCTGTTTTTTACTTACAATGACATCGCATGATGATTTTTATTGAAAATATTTTAATCTTCAGAAATAAATATATGTAATCTACTGCGGTTCTTTCATAGCGTGAAAAATTTTTAGCTGAAGCATTTGGTGAGCTAATTCAAGCTGTGAAGAAACAATTTGAATTTATCGCCGTTTTTTTGCGCGACCAAGTGGTGTGTTTTTTCGAACCAAATCGAGATATTAAAATAATTGTAAGTATTTTAAATTTTGATTACTTGAATTGCCTGCGTGAAGTGAATATAAAAAATTATCCAAACTATAGAGTTGATTCAAACTGCGAATTGACTCAAACGGTAACTTCCCAAATGGCATAATTCCCAAATGGCATAAATTTCAAGTTTTCATTGTTTTTTAAACGTTTTCCATCAATTTGTTATTCTGACATTTTGTCAGGAACGAAAGCATGTGAACAAAACTTCCAATTAATTGCTTCCAAACAAAAGTCACGCAACAAATTTGTCAAAAAAATTGACCACAAGAAGCTTATGAATAACCGCGAGCTAATTTAAAATAAAATTTCAAGCTTTTTCAAGATAACATTTCAATCAACATTTGAGTTGACAACTTGACTAACTTTCTCACATTGTTCACGAAAAATTTGTTCTCGATTTTTTCAATGCAACTGTTCCATGAAATTTATGCCTTTTGGGAATTTTTTCATTTTTTACGCCATTTAAGAATTATGCCATTTGAGACGTAATCGATTCAAACTATTGAAAATACATTTCGCTCTTTATCACTTAAATAGTTTGCTCAAAACTGTTTCAAAGGTTTGCCCTCTGATTCAACCATTTAAAAAAACACGTAGTTTTTAAAACTTCAATCACGTGAATAGATTGCTTGAAAAAGTTTTATCATTTTGCGAACGGACTCAAGATAGCACAATTATCATAATTATAAGTTTCATCACTGTAATAGCTCGCTTGAAACAACTTGAAGGTTAGATAGGCCAGCTTATATATTGCAAGTCGACCTAAAGTAAACTCAGTATCAAACAAACAATCATTTCATTACATACTTTTGTATTTTAAACACTTCTGACTTCTTCATTTTTTCACATTGTATTTATTATTTAGTCTGCTGGCTGATCTTTTCAATCATGACATCCGTCATTTTTTCAAGGTCATATTCAGGATTCCACCCCCAGTCATGTCTGGCGTCACTGTCATCCAGACTGACCGGCCACGACTCGGCTATCTTCTGTCGCATTGGGTCCACTTCGTATTTGAACTTGGCATTGGGAATCCGCCTCTGAATCTGTTTTTCAAGTTGTTCCGGACAGAATGACATGGCATTTATGTTGTATGTCCTGAAACGTTTTTGTCCTCTTCACAAATTGACTTCTCGTTTGGTTTGTTAAGTAATAATTAGCTGTTAGCTATAACTTATTGTGCGGGAAAATTAAAAGATTCAAAACCGGTTGCCCGAATTGTGTGCTTTGAAGTATTTTCGTCAATACAAGATTTTTTTTCTCTCTCCAATCCTAAAGATACTTCTAGTTTAGTTTGTTAAGTATTAATTACTTCTCGTTCTGAACAAATAACAACCTAAGATAGTTTTATTGTTCAAAACTTTCTAAATTCACCGTCTTCGTACCTCTGTTTCAGCTGAGACTCTGGAGTTAGCATGAAGTCGATGACCGATTTGGTGCAATCACCAATGTACATCATCGGTAGGTACGTCTCTCGCTTCAAATCACAGGAGAATGATCCATCTTTCATGCCTATAAGATAGCCAAACAGTTAAGAGAGGGAAGGAACATTTCCATATGAAAAGTTTCACTTTTATTTAACTCGATTTAATGATCATTAAACTTTCCGTCTGCGATTAGCAAGCGTTACCAAGTTGTAATATAGACTTTTTCGGGTTGACTTATTTTGAAAAATCACTTGAATAATTTGCACTCTGCAGACCTGCTCAATTGTATGAAAATTCATATTTAACAATAGATTACTAATGCTTGCAACTACTGCTTAATGATATATCCAAAATTCTAACCATTGAATGTGTATAATTATAGAATTTCAATATCTTTTGCGGATGATTTTTCGGCTTCATGGTAGTCCACTTGAGCTATGTCGGTTCAGTTTCCGAATTGCTTATAGCACCTTGCATGCACTGCATACAAAGGATTCGTGGATCATGTGGGCGGTACATGCATTTTTATACCAGAAGATTTTTTCGGTTGCCTTTCAGTTTATTGGGTGGGGGCCTTAAGTCCGTCGGCTTATCTATCTAATATTTTGTTTCCTAAAAACTTCCGGCGTTATTTTTGATATCAGCGAAACTAGCAACAAATTTTCAATTGCTCACAATTAAGTCTCTTAAGAACTGTTTGAAAATTTTTAAAATTCCTTTTTAAAAACGTCATTGTTTCGTGTCAGGGGCGAATTTAGGGAGGCGGACTCCCCCCCCCCCCCCCCCTCATGGATTAGACACCCTGCCAATCCAAAGGGTCCCCCCTTTCAAATATTTTGAGTTTGAGATACCCATTTTTGGCTGACAGACCCTAAAATTTTTCTTAGGCGCCTTGCGCGCCAATATATACTAATTTTAAGGGGGGAGCGCGAGCCAAAAAAACAAGTAAAGTTTTCAAAAAAGTGCCTAAAAACGCCTTTTCGGCCTGTTTTTTCAAATTTTTCGTGTGGCGATCGAGAGAATCTTAGATCCGCCTCTGTTTCGTGTCTCTAGTTTTTTCAACTTTTGCGTCGTTTGAAAACTTCTTCGCTTGCTATTTACTGAGCGTTTTTCTGTTTTTTAAACGCTTTTGAGAAATCTCAACTAATGATGTCAAAAATTGAGTGCCACAAGGCTCGGTTCTAGGTTCATTGCCTTTCATACTCTATGTAAATAACTTGTCTTTCGAGGATAATAGTACCAAAAATAACTTAGTTCTATATGCGGAATTTCCAGTCATTAAAACTAGTGGAAAATGCATGCTTCTAACAAAGGTGCATCAATCACTCATGGTTGAGGCCAAAAATGTCTCTGCCAAAATAAGCTCAAACTGAATGGTGACAAAACTAAAACGATGAAATATGGAAAAATGAAAAACTTCGTAAAAATCAAAGACAAAATTCCATTGAATAACGAGAAAACTGAAGAAATCTTAGATACTTAGGAGTACATTTGGACTCAAAATTGAATTTCCGCTCTACATAGAAAAAGTTAGTTCAAATTTGCGGAATGCTCTATCAAACAAGCGAGTACTCGAAATTAGCACAACTGTTGCATTATTATACAATTACCTTCAACCTGCTTTACAATACGGGATACTTGCGTAAACCAACAAAGACATTTTTATAATCAGGCCACTTCTAACTAAATTTGCAAGAATAATCAGAATAACAGTTTCGTTAAAAGAGCGGAGACTCATTAATGGAACTACAAGTGAAAATTTTTATTTTCCTATCAACCAAGTTGTTCGCATACGAAATTCTGAAAAATTTAATAAAATTTATGAAAAAGGAATTTGAAGTAAGTTTTCTACATTCAAAAATAACTCGTGATTAGGAGGTAATTAGTCTGATGTTTAAGCAAATCACGAGTCAAAAATTAACCTTGATTAAACACCAAAGTTACCAGAGATCTCTTAATCTGAAAAATAGGCAATTGTTTAACCTAGTTCTAACAGTTTTTCCAAGTTGGCCAGAGTTCGTTAAAACAGCAACAAAAATCAAATCAACATGTAAACCACATTGATAATGAGGGGGGGGGGGGGGGGGGGGGTTCGTTCCAGATTTCTCTAGGGTCTGAAAATCCAAGGCGAAGAACGTTTGTAGTAACATTGTTACTTTTTTAAGAATGTTTTTCTTTCGACTTCTGTAACTCGGTGAGAAAGAATTTTTGAACAGCTATACATACCTTTACTAAGCGCTTAACGCCAGTTTTAGTTTTTTTTCTGCTTGAGGTGCCCACAAACAGAAATTCAGGTCTAAAAGCGTCCTCTCAGTCTTTAAGTCTTTGGTCAGTCTATAATTTTGCTTTTTGGTTCAAATAAAACACCATTAGATTGGATTAGGAACATTTTATTATGATTATGATTTTACCTTAAACTTTTTGTATCGCAAGCGGTGCGAAGCTAAGCTCAGCCTCTTTGTAGCAATATATGGGACATTGATTGCTTCAACTGCTGTTTAACTTTACTGGCATTTGCTAAATGGGTATTTGACGTATTTTAGGTGTTTGACATATTGACATCTGGCGCAGTAAAGGTGTTTGATGTTGAGTTAAGGCATTTATTTATGTAATATATTTTTTTCAGGCGTCTCAAAGTTATTACTTTTAAGCAACTCAATTTAGTATAGTTCGCTTGCCAGCAATTAGATTTAAATAAAATGGAAAAAAAAATTGTAGTGAACTCAATTGATCTCACATTTATGGAAGCTTTTGGCCGCGTAGTCTGTGGTGCCGGCACCTTCATATGCATTCGCACTCACAATTCCAGGAAACCGAAGAGATCTGAAATCCACCCCGTACTTGTACACGTAATACTCTCCCAACAGCTCCCCGAATACTTTGCTCACGCCGTAAATTGTCCTCGGTCGCTGAATTGTAATGTTCGGAGTTCTTTCACGAGGCGTGTCTGGGCCGAACACTCCAATTGTGCTCGGAATGAACACTTTCAGTTTATGAATTCTAGAAAGTTCTAGAATGTTTGTGGTTCCCATTATGTTGACCTGAATTATTCAGAGAATTAACATCAATTGTTTGCGAGATTCATAAACATTTTGGTAGTTTTTTGTTCTACATCTAGTATTTTTCTGCCTTGAAATTCTCGAAAAAAAAGGTGATAAGTTTGATAAGTTTTTGAAAATGCTATTTATATCTAGATAATTTTAATTATGTGATTGGCAAAAGCTTCAGCTATATATCTTCTCCCTTTAAAAGTTATTAGTTGCGAGAGCAAGAGTCCTGTAATCGGAAACTAGACTTTTCGCGCGTAAACAATTTTTGGTTCAAATTTAGAAGAAATTGAACTGGATATTTAATTGAAACTTATCAACTTGCAACTTGAAACTTGTCGAGATAAAGGTTCTTGAGTTCAATTTTTGTTCGGACATTGTTTTTTGGGAAATGTTCGGGAAAAATTGAACTGTCAGGCTTTTGCTTAGACTTATGTTTTGTCGGCTTATTTTACAAAGAATATAAAGTTTTCCTAATTTGAATAATTCTGTTCTTTCTACTTATGTTGAGTTTTTCAAATTTTTTCCATTGATGATGGTTGTAGCTTATGTTTGACTGGCTAGGTGTACGTACTTTGCGTCGTTTGAATGACAAAAATTGTTTATAAGTTCCATTACTAGGCCAAACCGTGTAATAAGCGGATTCCGTAACAGGCCAAAATCCGATTTGATGAGGAATCCGCAAAACTGCTACTTTTCTTTGATCTGTTTTGCTATTTTGGATTCCACAAACAAATAACTAAAACACTATACGCGGAATCCGCAAATTGTAAGCGGAATCTGCGTTTTATTTGCGGATTCCAGTTACATATGTAGTAGCGTTTTCATATTAAGTCTTTTCTGCACACGGTGGTCACCAGCGATCTCAATTCCTGCCTGCTTACCGCCAATTTCGATCACAATTCCTGCCCCCAACTTCGATCTCATTAAGTACCTACTTACACCAAACTTCGATCTCAACTCCTGCTAACTGAACAAACTAAGGTCAGCTGATTAATCGATCTCAATTTCTGTCAACTGAACAAACTAAAGTTAATAAATTGATCAGTTCAATACAATTCAATTTACTTTGAACAATATCGTTTCAATTTAGCCTAATTTCAAAATGTGAGCACTCCAGAACAGACCAGAACAGTTTGATAATGCAACCTTTTCATTACTATTTTTGTATTTTTGGAATTAAGATGTGATTCAGCTGTAAAAAATTTGTTAATCGTTATTGGCTCACATTTTAACCAACCATCTCATCTCAATTGATGATGATTTTAACCAACCATTTCATCTCAAATACTGATAATTTAACCAACCATCTCGTTTCAAAAACTGATGATCTGAAATCGAGTTCTTTGAAACCACTATTATGCCGAATACTGTTTTTATTCGATGATTGTGCTTCAAATCGATTCCAAAAAATTAGCTTGCCGGTAAATCTCACAATAACTAAATGGTGACATCCGCCGTTTGAGTTAAACGATATTTTAAGATTTGTTTTGTCGATTCCGCTTACAATGGCTAAGTCTTTGTTTTTATTTTCGGAATTGCTTGATAATAATTCCAGCTCTAGCTTTTCATTGTTCTTATGTTCAAGTTTTTCCAAAAAGTGCCTAAAAACGCTTTTTTTTGGTGGTTGCCTGCGACGCAGAAAATTTAGTCAAAATATGGTGCTTAAAGTGATTTGGGAGAGCTCAAAAAAAGATCGACCATTTTCTGAAATTTTTTGAAAATCGGCTCCCTCCAGAAAGTTTAAGATCCGCCCCTGCTTATGATTTAAATGTATGAAACAATGCTAGTCATACAGTTTTCGTACGATTTCGAAAAATGGTTGAAATAATTAAAAACTAATTTCTGCGGCTATTTGATTCTAATAAAACAGTCTGGTGATAACAAATACCGAGACTTTTTGTTTTTCAAAAAATGCTTGTCATACAATTCCCACATAAAAAAAATTGTATGCCTAGCATTTTGCTGATAGCGACATAAAATTTTTTTTTGTTTTTTTTTCAACCGCAAATTAAATTTTGTACTAATGCAATTTCAAAAAAATATTTTGAATGCAATTTTTTTTGTGTGTGCATAACGTGGTACGTAATTTTTGTTTCCTTTTTACTTAATTTCAAGTTTTTTCAACCCGGGAAAGGGAAAAAGTTTTAAAACTTAATCGCTCAGAGTTTTATAATGCCAACAAAATCTTGTTATTTTGCGTCTCAGTGGGAGTCTGTCCCGATCAACCGTAAAATCTCCCCCCCCCCCCTAATTGACCTACCGTAGAATGCCCTCCTCATTAATTTTGAAAAAAAAATCTGTGTGAACTATGCAGTTCATACAAACACGCAGCAAATAAAATTGTTTTTACATTTTTATGCGACATTGCATTTGTATGCTGTTAATTACACAAATTAATGTTTTAATTCGATTTTATTTTGTAAAATTGTTAATTTTGAAAAAAAATCTAGGCTATACTTAAAGTTAGCAGTTCTACATCTCCCCCCTCCCCTAAATCGATTCGAGGAAAGTGGGAATTGTACAATTGATCCTTCTGTCCAAGTATTTTTGGCTTAGTGGCCGCTCGGTTAATGATACTAAAAGTTTCTGTCTCATTTTCCATTCGATAGCTTGCAATGGTACGCTTGTGTTGTACCGTAAGTGGCGGGAAGCTCCGCTTCGCCTCTGTTAGAAACTGTCAACTAACCTGGCTTGCCAAATTTACATTTGTCTCCGCCAGAGCCGAGAGTAAAGCTGCGTAATGCACAACGCAGTTTATTTCATTGTCCACCACAATTTTGTGAAGAGAGTTCAAGTCCGAAATATCCAGATATGCAAAGGGTCCATCTGTTCCTTGCTTTGACATCTCTCGCTGCATGTCATCGGTTACGACACGACTTTGTTTCGAAACGTCAGTTAAAATGACGTTTTCTTTTCCATACCTGAAAAAAGTAGCGATGAAATCATCATTCTCGTTCGTTTTTTACAGCAGAAATTCTAACTACTACTTGCAAAAAAGGCCGAGAAATGCGCGAGAAGCACTTCGGTTACTCCGACTATTCAGCGTCACAAATTGATTTTTCACTAAAAAGTAAAACTGTCTCCCCTCCCCCTCACCTTCAGAGGCACTGACTGAGCCTAGTGGGCAGGCGTTTACTTTTAGACCGTCAGACCGGGTGTTCGATCTCCCGGCATTGCAATGATAACATCTGAGGACGAGCTCTCACTTAGCTTCTAGCTGCAAGTCTACCATAGCTTGGCCAAATTTGGCTGCTATAAGGGTGCTACGTAAAAAGTTTTAAACGCCAAAAACGGCCTTGGGTCGCAAGCAAGAGCTTCTCTCAACAAAATAACGCAGTCTGGAATGTGGAGAGTTGATACAACTGGACTATTTTCAGACAGTTTTGTTAAGGCCTGCTGATAGCTTTTCAGCGATTCACAGGAGTTATAATGATATAAAATTTTGGCTCTCAATATCCTCTAATAACACGCTTGCGATTACAAAAATTATCATTCAGAAAGATTAGGATCAGGGGCGAATTTAGGGGAAGGGGGGAGGGGCGGGATATTATTCAATGACATCTATTTTAAGCCGACCAACCCTAAAACTTTTCTAAAGGCGTCTTCGGCGCCAATATGTACTAATTTTGAAGGGAAGGGCTCGCCAAAAAAAAGCGTTTTTTGGTCAAAATTTTTCAAAAACTGCTTCAGAATGGCCTTTTCAATTGTTTTCTCGAAGTTTTTTTGGTCAAAATAGGGTCTATTTACAGTGTTCTGGTGTTGCTAGGAAATCAGTTTGGCCGAACTAAAAAAAAGCCGAACTAAAAAAATTTTTCGAAATCCGCCTCCTTTGAGAAAATCCTAAATCTGCCCTGATTAGGATATCAAAAACCTGTTTCATATGCCTACTTAAGTTTTATTTAAAAATTCTTCTACACCATTACATGCACGAGGAAAATTCGTGTGCAGTAAGAAAGACGATTTTAATATTATTAACTTCCGCCTACGATGTAGTTGTCTGCGGGGCTTTCAACGAAGGAAAAGATCCAAAAAGTGGTTTGCTGAAAAATTGAAGCTTAGAACAAATTGGGAAAACATGAAATACCTTTTGCGCAGTTCGGCCGTCAAGTCCAACCCGAGCTGGCCTAAACCGCCGGTTATTAAAACGCGGGGGCGTGAACCATCGGTAAGCAAAGTTCGCTTGATAAGAAATGCATGTTTAGTAGTAAGTAATTTTTTCAATGCCATATTACGCATGACTCTGAAGTATAAACGTGAGACGTACGACCGCTTTTACAAGCAGATGACAGCAGACGGTTTACAAATTAAAAAGCCACAAACGCTACGTGCACGTTGCCATTTTTCAAAACTCAATGACAAGACTCATCAAAGTTACTTAACTTGATTTGTTTTGTCAATCAAACAGAGTTTCTTAATGTAACTGAAGAAATTGACAAAAAAGCACTACATTTAACCAAAGTCCAGATTGGGCCGCCTAGTGGGGGAGGGTTGGGGTAAAGGGAATATTATTTAAGGAGGGGGTGGGGGGTCTTTTATTTAGTTGGGGGGATGTTGACCACAATAGGTTCGTTTATTTTAGTTTTCGGTTACTTCCTTTGACGTTTTGTCACACCTTGCCCTGTTTTTGGTAAAATATTTTTAATTGGATTGAAGTCACATCTTGCCGTGATTGGAAAAATTAAATCATGCTTTTTGGCAAAAAAACACCTCAAAAGCTGCTATTTTCACAAGATCTCCAGGTTAGAAGCTGCTCTTTTAGTCAACATCAGGAGTGGATTTAGGAAGGACGGTGGAAGGGGGTGGATATTATTTTAGCGCCAATATATACTAACAGTGGCGTGTTTTTAGGGGCGGTTTTTTAAAAAAATTTTGTTTAGATCGAACAACTTTATTTTCCGAGATCTCCAAAAATACTATATCGAAATCATTTTTTCCAAAAATATCTGCGCCGCAGGCAAAACTTTGAAAAAAAACACGTCAAAATGGCGTTTTTGACCAAAAAAATTGCGTTTTTTGGCATGCGCACCCCCTTCAAAATTGTTCACATTGGCGCCAAAAGAGCTTTTTGAAAATTTTTGAAGCTGCGTAGCGCAAAATGGATGTCGTAATATTATACCAAAGGGAGCCCCTTACGAAAAATTTGGGAACGCCTTCTCGGCACGGTACTGTATACTGATTTTGAAGGGGAGAGCGCGCCGAAAGAACGCAAGTTTTCGGCCAAAAATTTTCCAAAAAAAGCGTAAAGGTTTTTGTTGAGTTTTGAGAGCGGTTGATTCGGCTCTTCCTTTTTCCTCACGTGCAATTTTTCACTGTAAATTGTTCTGTTTGAATTGTCCGAATGTTACAAAAATTAGGCATGCAAACTAATTAGGCTATCACAAACATAGTTAGTCTTTATATTTAACCTTGTAAAACGCCTCGTTACTTTATTTATAGATGCTTATGTGAGGTGGGGTGAAAAGAAAAAAGCCTTAGACACAATTCTTACAAAAGTTTCATTTTGCTTTGTATTAAATCCAAATCCAATCGATCATCTGACGTATCTGCAGGGGCGGATCTAGGATTTTCTCGAGGGGGCTCGGATTTTTAAAAAAATTTCGAAATTTGTCAACCTTTTTTTAGGTCGATCGAACTGGTTTTTGGAGCTCTCCCAACCAGAGCACTAAAAAGTCTCTGTTTTGGCCAAAATTTCAGCGCCGCAGGGCAAAAAAATGGGCAGAAAAGGCGTTTTTAGGCACTTTTCGGAAAGTTTTTAACAAAAAATTGCGTTTTTTTTGGCGCGCGCTCCCCACTTAAATAAGTATATATTGGCTTCTTTACAAAAATTTTAGGGTCCGTCTGCCAAAATTGGATATCTGAAAATAGTTCAAAGGGGGAAGCAGGTACTTTGGGTCGGCAGGGGGTCGAATCCCTGACAAAGACGTCCAAGCCCACCGCCCCCCCCCCCCCCAAAATCCGCCTAGAGGTTACCTATATGCTTTCAGATGCCAAGGGCGTAAGTCGACGGAGTTTTCTGTTTTTTTTTTCGGATAGTTGTCCGTCTATTTTTCTGTCGGCTTAGATTTCGTGTCACCAATTCTCTAATAGGTTTAACAATCTTCTAACTTTCTGAATGCTATTAGAGGAAGTAGTTGAGTCACAAAATTGTTTGCGGAAACTTTGCTGCTTTTTTCAAAGCTTTTCGAAAGTTCTTACTCTGTCAATTTTTTTGCACAGAATTTTTATAATGCAAATTTTCTGCTCTTCATTAGCATTGGCAATTCTTTACCGCTTCGTAAACGTTGTTTCGATGCAAATTTACGTTTATTTGTCTTTTATTCATCATCTAAATTTTTTGTCAAAATTGAACTTTAATGCACAAAGTTTGATTGAAAGATTTGAAATTTTTGGTAGATCTAGCTTTTCTCGACATTTCGAACTTTTGTTTTGACTAAGTGGCCCTTGTATTATTTTCTGTCTGCTAGCTTGCCATACTATAATTGTTTTATGCTTTATAGTTTATGGTTGTTGACCTAAACTGTCGGTTTAGTTTTCGAATTGTGTATACCACCTCGCATTTTCTACATATATAGCAGTTGCAGATGTTAGCAGTAATTTTATGTGGGCAGTAATTTCATTTTTTTCCAAAAGATTTTACTTTAATATTTCGGCTAATTTTCAGCTTATTGGTTGACCGCTTTCTGTTGTTTTTTTTTCACCTACTGTTTTAATTTCTACAAGTTTTCGGTTTTATTATAGAACAATAAGAGTCTAGCATCATAGTTTTGAATCCTCAAAATTAACCCCACAAGGAACGCTGTGAAAAAACGTAATTAAAATTATTCAATAGAAGTTTTGCCAATCTTTCAATAGTTCTTTCAATATCATCGTTCGAATTCGTTTTTCTTCTGTTTCTTGACAGTCAAACTGTTTTAGTTTTACACTTGTTGGTTTTGCAAGTGGCGTGAAGCTCAGCTTCGCCTCTGTGTTTGGTCTTTTTTTCTGATTTCCGCTTTTTTTTCAACTATTTAACCATCTTAGTGCAGTTTCTTAATTTCATCCGAGAGTAAGATTTGATTAGATTAAAACATTGAAAAATTTAGTTATCTTTCTTTTGCCACCGATTTTTTCCTTCTTCGTGAAGCTGGCGAAAGTTTTCAAACGATTCTAGGACTAGAAATGGTTAATCAGTTTGAGTTCGTATTTATAGTTGTTGTTTGTGGAATGAATCATTGATTTGTTTTTTTTTCCATTGCGATTAGCAAGAGTATTATAATAGAGTATTAGATTTTTTCCTGGTGTGTTTTTGAGAGTAGTTTTTTCAAGAGTATTTATATAGAGTATTTTTTTCCTGGTGGGTTTTTGCAAAAAGATTGGTTACAATTGGAATTGTCCAATTCAGTACGGTCGTTCTGTAATCTTAATTATTTGGTATGGGTACAATTTTGATGAGGTTGGTTTTTTCAGGGAATTTTATTTTCACTAAAAGTTTAAATTAGATTTTCTCATTGTGTCTTGGTGCCCACAACTCGTGGTGATTTTCTTACTTCTTTTCTTTTTACTTCTTTCAAATTTCTTAAAAATCTTTAAATTATTTTTGTGACTATTCGAATTTGGGAAAAAACTTAGCATTTTGATCGATTTTTTTGTTTTTATTATCAACCAGAGGTATTTGTCATACTTTTTGCAGACAATTAAGTTCATGAAACTTGGTGCAATATTTTTAAAATTTTTAAAGTTCAAATTCCCGATTTTTTTTTCGTTTTCAACTGATTTTTAGCATATTTTTTTTGTTAATGAGCTATATTGTTTAAAATTTAAGAAGCTCAGTGGATGTTAGATTGGAAAAATTGTTTTCAAATTTTTTTGGACTTCTTAATTTCTCAAAACCTTCCATTTATTTTGAAAAAGCTCATCGTTAGGTTTGTTGCTGGTTTTTTCTACTACTTATATTGCAGTCTCTGGGTCTGCGTACAGATACTTTTGACCCGCCTTAATTGATCATATTTTGCATTTGGCTCAAATTTTTTTGTTCGTTTTTCGTGTTTTGCATTTTGTTTTCGTGTTCATGAAATTAGAAATTTTTTATAGAGCGTAATTTTTGCATATTTTAATAAGTTTTTGTTTCAGCAGTTCTTTTGCCCAAACATTTTGTTTTTGTCTAACCAAATCAAAAATTTCAATACCGGTTTCTATTTTTCAACTAAACATTTTTGAATAAAATACCGATATCAACTGAAAAGTAATGATCAGCTCAAAATCAGAAATATATTTCCTTCGTGATTGAATTCGATGGAAAAATGTTTTTATCTGATGTTTTTGAAGTATATAGTTTCGATGTTTTTTATCTACATTTGTGTTTGCGAACTTTGAAACGACGCAACAGTTTGGAATTTGAAAGCTTCATAACTCATTTTTTGCGACTGTTTTTGCCTGAACGTTCGTTTACCCACGTGTTGTACGCTTAGATACTGCTCGATAAAGGTTTCTGAATTTTCATTTTACGCGAATTATAGTCATGAATAGGAATGCAAAAAGATGATCCAAAATATTCTATGGCGAAAAAAAAAAACAATAATGAGTCAAATAAAACTCATTTTGCTCTTTTTTCATCCCATAAAAACGGCCTATATGAAACTTTTTCAACCCGCCCTAATGAATGAAGGTTAATGAATCAGTAAGTTCAAAACTTTAGTTTTTGATTTTCATAAAAAGTAATAAGCTTTTTTTTGAGTCTGGCGAAATCAAGGTTCTTTTGTATATTGCGTTTTTTATGGGATAAAAACGAGTGACTGAGCAATTAAAGCTACTATGAACTGGCATTATTTGAGCAGAGAACTAGTCATTTAAAAAATACAAGGATTCTGAAAAAACAATAGAATTATCTTCAAATACTCCAAATTATAAAGCAGTGGGGTTCTGTCAGTCAGTTTCGAGCTCTAAAAAGCTAACAGACAGCGTTGATTTATTTTTGGGGCCCGTATTCCCAAATACACCTAGTTAGAGTCAACGTTACCAATATTTTTCCAATCGATCAACAACAGTCTACGACATCTCTCTGCAAACTTTGTTTCATCAAACTCGAACTTTTTATGATCAGTTTTTTCAAATATCAAACAACAAGAAACGTTCTCTGACCAAATTGGTTAGAATATACAAAACACTTAGACAAAGTAACGAAGTTTTTCACTCAACTAACGTTACTATTCCAGGTTAACCAAGGTGTTTAGGTTTTTCCTTTTTATCAGACATTCCAAAATTGCTCAAACGTTCACTTAATCCTTAGCTTTCTTCTAGAAAAAGGGATAAGAGGACTTGTATGCGAACTAAATCTACACCAAATGGCAGATAAACTGAACTCATTCTTATTTAAAAAATAAAGTCTGAGCCAAACTCAGATTCATGCCTAGGTTTCTCATTGTGCAATAGTGTGTTTAGTTTTAAATTGCACCATTTCCGAGGTTCGTCTTCATGTTAACAAGTTTCATCCTCAACTAAACTAACCTAACATTACTTATGGTTATCTCATCCGGAAAGGAATTTTTGGCTCAAAACACAAAACAAACTATCTAAAACAACAAAGAAAGGAATTATAAGGTGTGTCATTCAACTAAAATTTCTTCTGTCATCCAATTTGAAATCTTTTTACGGAACTCAAATTAGTTTTATGTTGAAATTTAATTTGACAAAATCAAAAAATATATATATTTTGTGACAATTAGGTTAGAATTATTACAAATATGGTTTAAAAAAAATTGAGCTTAATTAAAATAGAAATACATTGAAATAAACAAAAAATGATCCAATTCTGGCAAAAGATAAGCCCATTTAAGGTGAAAGAACATTGGATTGAAAAACTTTTTCTCAAAGTGGCCAGAATAAGTCTAATAAGACCAGATACTGTTCCAATGAAACTAAAGCCCTCTCAACTTTGGTCAAAGTAAACACGAACTAAGGAGATAAATTAAGACAAAATTGATCGAAGTAGGCGCGTTCTGTTGGATAGAATTCAAATTCAATTAAACGTTTTCCAATTTTTAATACAATGGGGCCCAATTTAAAAGGCTAACTTTGTAAAAAATTTAAAAAAAACCAGAAGTTATCAAAAGAAGCCCGATTAAGTAAAATAAAACTGCTGTGGGCTAAAATTAATCCACTTTTTTTAAAAACTCGGCTCAGTTAAAGTTCCTCAGAGGTGAACTTGTCAAGGTAGGTTCCTTTACCGTAAAAAAAATTGTTCCAGCTAAAGTTATACAGAATTTTGTCAAATCGATCACAATTAATCTAAAAACAAGAAAACGAAACCAATCAAAAATGGTTTCAATAAAAACCAAATAAACTAAATTTTAACCAAAATTTGATCAACACTAACTTGTTAAAGAAGAAAAAGTCAACTAAACCTGAAAAAATCTAACTTTGTTCAGAAAAGCGATGTATAGACCTCTTTAACTCGATATTTGCCTTTTGAAATCATAACCCACACTTCACAACCGAGAGTGGCTACGTGCGTTTAGTCAAACTAAAAACGATCATATTAGTGTTTTAGCAAAACACGCAAACGAAAATGAACACCAACTATTCTTCCTTTTTTGACGATACAATCCAAACTAAATTTTTCAAACCAAAATTTTATTCATCAAACCCAATATACCTCTGAGAACTCAAATTATTCAACACTAACAACTAGCTTTTTGAAGTCATTCTAAGCAAAAGCGATACAAGATTCTCTCATAAACTTTTCGATGTTGTGAGTACTAAATAAAAAATAAAATAGAGTAAAATGGCGAATGTAAAACCATATCCAGATTTAGCTCTCAATGACTTCAATGACTCCAATTGAAGATGCAAGAGATTTTCCTGATATAATAGTGAAAAACATAGCACACTCCCAAGATCATTGCCTGGTTTTATCAAGTCAGGACCAGACGATTATCGAGATGCTTTTGTTAAAAGACAGAGAGCATTTTTTGGCTCAATATTTAGAGCTTTAGGTGCTCAGTGGTACCATGGAAAATCAGCAGGTTCAAATTGAAATGATATCAGAGATGAGTTCGATTATAGGTTTACTGATGATAAAGAAAAATATAGAAGAAAAATAGAAGCGAAAAACTTCAAAATACAACGTGGTGCATTAATCAAAAACTGTTTATGAAAACCAGAACACAACAAACTATGGAATTATGTAAAAAGTCACACTTATCAGGATCAAAACGAAAAGCACATCAGTTTTATATGAGAATCTTGCCGCAAAATGGCAAATTTTAAAAGATATAACTTTCAATGAGAACCGGAGAAAATCCAAAAAATATAATTTTCTGAAAGAATTTTTGCAACTACCAGGATTGAAACGAAAAGCACATCAGCTTTCAAGTAAGAATCCAGCTGCAAATTGGCAACAGATACAAAATCAGACATCTACTGAAAATCTCAGTTTTGCATCGAAAAGCGAGTTATCTGAAACAGCATCCTCTGTCGATGAGAGTAACACAGAAATAGTTGGAATAAAGGATCAGTTTCAAAAAATTACCAAGTTTAATGAAAGATCACACAATAAACGCAGCAGAAAACCCAGATGAGCCGGAAAGTTTTTTTAGGATAGCACGTTCTGTAAATGGTGTCGCAGAACAGGTCACTTTATGATTTATTGCTCTAGATATAGAGATATTCGAAAGCAATATCGAAGACAACCTCATTTTAGAGAGATTTTTTCTAAATTGTTAGAATTTCTAGGTCAAAAGATGTTATTGTGAAATCGTTAGCCAAATCATCAAAAAAAAGTAACGAGGTTATACTTCATAGCAAATATGCTGTATGAAAAATTACCTAGTGAAATAGAGTTGCATAAGTTGAAACAGACAGAATCGATAAAAAGAGTTTTCCAAACAAATATTGGTTCGCAAGAAGTCTGTAGTTTGAGCTCAAAATTGTCATGTTGTTCTTTTGAAAAATTTATCAGTTCTAATGTTTCGCAACTTTCTCTACCGTTACTATTAGTTTTTGCAAAAATGAAATTTACCAGAACAGAAAGTAGCAAAATTTAAAATTGAGAAAAATGTTAAGAAGACAATAATGCCATTTCTGAGCTCTAATTGCATTCAATCTCAGCCTTTTCAAGCAGCCTTGCAAAACAATTTTTCTCTGAAAACTAATATTTATCGGCAAAGTTTTTTGGAAATAAGTGATTTGCTCTTTTCACCAATTCTGTCTGATCCATTTTTTTTGCAACTCTCGATATCACCAGTTTTTTCCTCTTGCAAAATTTCCTCTTGTAACGCAAGTTTTGTCGGCACATTCGTTATATTTTTGGTGTGGAATCCGCAACAAGCAGTTTGAACTAGGTGTTTCGTATTCTTCAAGTATCTTCAAGAGTCTTTCGTGTATTCCTCTGAGATTTTGCGTACTCAGCTTACACTTTGCAGATTTCGCTTACAATTTGCGGGTTCCGTTTACACTTTAGGCGTTGAGCTTAAAGTTATGGAATCTGTGAGAGCGTGATTTTATTTTTCCCATATTTTTTGTAGATTGCAAATTCTGTTCCGAATTTCCAGAGTTTGTCGTGGATTCCGCATTTTGACTGTTTTTTGAGCAGTTTTGAGCAATACAATGTTTTAGCTATTTGTTCGTGGAAACAAAAACAGCAAAGAAGATCAAGGAAAAATAGCAATGTTGCGGAATCCATGTCAAGTTTGTTTTCAACCTGCTGAGGAAGTCGCTTACAGTTCGCAAAATACACGGTTTGGCCACGATGTCACAAACAAATAAAAGTACTCAAAAAATATTTTTTTTTCGTTTTTTGTAAGTATTTCTAAACACAATGTCAGAGCCAGATTAACTTGCCGCTGACGCGTTAATGAAAGTTGTAATTTTTGCACGAGTTCAAACCCCAATAACAGTGACGAAACGTGGCAGATAAAACATCCTTTTAAATTTGAATTCAAGGCATCATTATTCTTCAATGTAGAGAAATTTTTTTTTTAAAATGTTGGTAAAACTAAATTTTGTCCTACTAAAAATTGTAAAACTAAAACTAAAAAAAACTGGGAGATTCCGGGATCCGGTAAGTTGAATTTCGTCTAACTGTGGTAAGGAGGCAGTATTTAGATGCACATAACTAAATGGTCTACCGTGAATAGATTTTATAAAATATATTATCTTTATAAAAATCGATTTAAACAATTCAATCTCAAGTTTTGCAGGTCGTGTAACTTAGCACCATAACTGTGATAAAGACAAAGTCTTTAGGTCTTGCGTAGATCTGGGCGGTGAGTTCCCGTTAAAATAAGCCCGTTATAAGTATGATAGTTGGGTCCCTAAAATTAATAAGGGTCTCTGAAGAAGGTTTTATGTGCCTTAAAATTTTTGGAAAAATCACGGCAGCCAGGGCCTCTTAGTGATTCATTGTCTATCAATCAGGTTTTCAAAAACCCTAGGTATGGAATCCTTTTTTCATTTTTTCCCGGGCTACAGCTATCATAATGTACTATGCATGGATGAGAGCAAACTAAAACTGACCATGTTATGATCGTAGCTGCTTTCGGGTGTAAATTAAATTATAAATACTAAAAAAAAAACCTATCAAATTTTCCGCCATTTTTTTCAAAAGTCGGAAGAAAATTCTGAAAACTGATTTAAATGGGTTCAATTAGCAGTGCGGTTCGAAAAAATGATCGGAGTGGAAATGGTCAAAAATCACTCTCAAAGATAAAAAAGATCCAAGAGGAATACTCTCAAAGATGAAAAAGATTCAAGAGTAAACGTTCATTTTCCCAGAAAAAATTTGAAACACAACCGGAAACCTATAATCAGTAAATATTAAAGTAGTTCGAACGAGATTAGTTTGTTTTGTTTGCTTTCTGTTAACATGTTTTCCACTACAATCGATTCAAAAAAATTGACCTGTTTCTGATGGTTTTCACTAGCGCTTGAACTGTTCATTTTTGATTCTGATTCGAGCTAATTTTTTATGATTGTGTGTGTTTATTTATCATATCAACTCTGTAAACTGACGAAAAAATTAATACAATTAAATTTTGTGATAAGTCATAAACTCTCTCATAAACTTGTATTTGATTCAACTTATCTGCATGCGCTCATCAAAAACTTCGATTCGTTACTGTTTACTTGACTGAAATTTGCAAGATCAATATTGACGGCTTTTACACAGTACTTGAACGCATTTTGTAGTCTTTATTCATTTTTTTACGATTCTGATGCTTTGCACATGAGAATTGGCCATCATTCAAACTCGCAAACTCCCTTTTGTTTAACTATAATTATCAATTTTTTGACATAAATGGATGCGAAAGGCAACAAGTTGGCTTGTTTCAAGGGGGCTGACTTGAAAGTCCCTGGAATTACAGACGACACTGTAGCCCATTTCATCATGAGGACCAGCGAGCAACTGGCACCAGATGATAAAATCGCATATGTAAGTTGGTAACTTCGTTAGTAGGTTCACCAAAAAAGTACCAAAAAATGAGTATTCTTTTAAAAATACATAATATAAAAGAATTACTCGAAACACTAAGATGTGAGCAGGGACACAGCAGAGGTTCTGCACATAAAGCTAAAAAGGTTTGTCTGTTTTCAGCTTTTCGCTCGGGGACAAGATGTCTTCGCAGTTTCTAACTCAATCTCTAAAATGTTGACACTTTTCTTAAGTCGCGCCTCTTAAGTATTTTCTTAAGTAGCGCCGCTTGAATCTTTTCTTAGGTCGCGCCGCTCAAGTCTTTTCTTAAGTCGCACCGCTTAAGTCTTTTCTTAACTCGCGCCGTCAGTCTTTTCTTAAATCGCACCGCTTAAGTCTTTCCTTAAGTCGCGCCTCTTAAGTCTTTTCTTAAGTAGCGCCGCTTAAATCTTTTCTTAGGTCGCGCTGCTGAAGTCTTTTCTTAAGTCGCACCGCTTAAGTCTTTTCTTAACTCGCGACGTCAGTCTTTTCTTAAGTCGCGCCGCTTAAGTCTTTTCTTAAGTCGCGCCTCTTAAGTCTTTTCTTAAATAGCGCCGCTTAAATCATTTCTTAGGTCGCACCGCTTAAGTCTTTTCTTAAGTCGCACTGCTTAAGTCTTTTCTTAACTCGCGCCGTCAGTCTTTTCTTAAATCGCACCGCTTAAGTCTTTCCTTAAGTCGCGCCTCTTAAGTCTTTTCTTAAGTAGCGCCGCTTAAATCTTTTCTTAGGTCGCGCCGCTGAAGTCTTTTCTTAAGTCGCACCGCTTAAGTCTTTTCTTAACTCGCGCCGTCAGCCTTTTCTTAAGTCGCGCCGCTTAAGTCTTTTCTTAAGTCGCGCCTCTTAAGTCTTTTCTTAAGTAGCGCCGCTTAAATCATTTCTTAGGTCGCGCCGCTTAAGTCTTTTCTTAAGTCGCACCGCTTAAATCTTTTTTTAAGTAGAGCCGTTTAAATTTTTTCTTAGGTCGCTCCGCTTAACTCTTTTCTTAAGTCGCACCGCTCAAGTCTTTTTTTAACTCGCGCCGTCAGTCTTTTCTTAAGTCGCGCCGCTTAAATCTTTTCTTCGGTCGCGCCGCTTAAGTCTTTTCTTAAGTCGCGCCGGTTAAGTCTTTTCTTAAGTCGCACCGCTCAAGTCTTTTTTTAACTCGCGCCATCAGTCTTTTCTTAAGTCGCGCCGCTTAAGTCTTTTCTTAAGTCGCGCCGCTTAAGTCTTTTCTTAAGTCGCGCCGCTTAAATCTTTTCTTCGGTCGCGCCGCTTAAGTCTTTTCTTAAGTCGCGCCTCTTAAGTCTTTTCGTAAGTAGCGCCGCTTAACTCATTTCTTAGGTTGCGCCGCTTAAGTCTTTTTTTAAGTCGCACCGCTTAAATCTTTTTTTAAGTAGAGCCGTTTAAATTTTTTCTTAGGTCGCTCCGCTTAACTCTTTTCTTAAGTCGCACCGCTCAAGTCTTTTTTTAACTCGCGCCGTCAGTCTTTTCTTAAGTCGCGCCGCTTAAATCTTTTCTTCGGTCGCGCCGCTTAAGTCTTTTCTTAAGTTGCGCCGGTTAAGTCTTTTCTTAAGTCGCACCGCTCAAGTCTTTTTTTAACTCGCGCCGTCAGTCTTTTCTTAAGTCGCGCCGCTTAAATCTTTTCTTCGGTCGCGCCGCTTAAGTCTTTTCTTAAGTCGAGCCGGTTAAGTCTTTTCTTAAGTCGCACCGCTCAAGTCTTTTTTTAACTCGCGCCGTCAGTCTTTTCTTAAATCGCACCGCTTAAGTCTTTCCTTAAGTCGCGCCTCTTAAGTCTTTTCTTAAGTAGCGCCGCTTAAATCTTTTCTTAGGTCGCGCCGCTGAAGTCTTTTCTTAAGTCGCACCGCTTAAGTCTTTTCTTAACTCGCGCCGTCAGCCTTTTCTTAAGTCGCGCCGCTTAAGTCTTTTCTTAAGTCGAGCCTCTTAAGTCTTTTCTTAAGTAGCGCCGCTTAAATCATTTCTTAGGTCGCGCCGCTTAAGTCTTTTCTTAAGTCGCACCGCTTAAATCTTTTTTTTAAGAAGAGCCGTTTAAATTTTTTCTTAGGTCGCTCCGCTTAACTCTTTTCTTAAGTCGCACCGCTCAAGTCTTTTTTTAACTCGCGCCGTCAGTCTTTTCTTAAGTCGCGCCGCTTAAATCTTTTCTTCGGTCGCGCCGCTTAAGTCTTTTCTTAAGTCGCGCCGGTTAAGTCTTTTCTTAAGTCGCACCGCTCAAGTCTTTTTTTAACTCGCGCCGTCAGTCTTTTCTTAAGTCGCGCCGCTTAAGTCTTTTCTTAAGTCGCGCCGCTTAAGTCTTTTCTTAAGTCGCGCCGCTTAAATCTTTTCTTCGGTCGCGCCGCTTAAGTCTTTTCTTAAGTCGCGCCTCTTAAGTCTTTTCTTAAGTAGCGCCGCTTAAATCATTTCTTAGGTCGCGCCGCTTAAGTCTTTTCTTAAGTCGCACCGCTTAAATCTTTTTTTAAGTCGCACCGCTCAAGTCTTTTTTTAACTCGCGCCGTCAGTCTTTTCTTAAGTCGCGCCGCTTAAATCTTTTCTTCGGTCGCGCCGCTTAAGTCTTTTCTTAAGTCGCGCCGGTTAAGTCTTTTCTTAAGTCGCACCGCTCAAGTCTTTTTTTAACTCGCGCCGTCAGTCTTTTCTTAAGTCGCGCCGCTTAAATCTTTTCTTCGGTCGCGCCGCTTAAGTCTTTTCTTAAGTCGCGCCGGTTAAGTCTTTTCTTAAGTCGCACCGCTCAAGTCTTTTTTTTAACTCGCGCCATCAGTCTTTTCTTAAGTCGCGCCGCTTAAGTCTTTTCTTAAGTCGCGCCGCTTAAGTCTTTTCTTAAGTCGCGCCGCTTAAATCATTTCTTCGGTCGCGCCGCTTAAGTCTTTTCTTAAGTCGCGCCGGTTAAGTCTTTTCTTAAGTCGCACCGCTCAAGTCTTTTTTTAACTCGCGCCGTCAGTCTTTTCTTAAGTCGCGCCGCTGAAGTCTTTTCTTAAGTCGCACCGCTTAAGTCTTTTCTTAACTCGCGCCGTCAGCCTTTTCTTAAGTCGCGCCACTTAAGTCTTTTCTTAAGTCGCGCCTCTTAAGTCTTTTCTTAAGTAGCGCCGCTTAAATCATTTCTTAGGTCGCGCCGCTTAAGTCTTTTCTTAAGTCGCACCGCTTAAATCTTTTTTTAAGAAGAGCCGTTTAAATTTTTTCTTAGGTCGCTCCGCTTAACTCTTTTCTTAAGTCGCACCGCTCAAGTCTTTTTTTAACTCGCGCCGTCAGTCTTTTCTTAAGTCGCGCCGCTTAAATCTTTTCTTCGGTCGCGCCGCTTAAGTCTTTTCTTAAGTCGCGCCGGTTAAGTCTTTTCTTAAGTCGCACCGCTCAAGTCTTTTTTTAACTCGCGCCGTCAGTCTTTTCTTAAGTCGCGCCGCTTATATCTTTTCTTCGGTCGCGCCGCTTAAGTCTTTTCTTAAGTCGCGCCGGTTAAGTCTTTTCTTAAGTCGCACCGCTCAAGTCTTTTTTTAACTCGCGCCGTCAGTCTTTTCTTAAATCGCACCGCTTAAGTCTTTCCTTAAGTCGCGCCTCTTAAGTCTTTTCTTAAGTAGCGCCGCTTAAATCTTTTCTTAGGTCACGCCGCTGAAGTCTTTTCTTAAGTCGCACCGCTTAAGTCTTTTCTTAACTCGCGCCGTCAGCCTTTTCTTAAGTAGCGCCGGTTAAGTCTTTTCTTAAGTCGCACCGCTCAAGTCTTTTTTTAACTCGCGCCGTCAGTCTTTTCTTAAATCGCACCGCTTAAGTCTTTTCTTAAGTCGCGCCTCTTAAGTCTTTTCTTAAGTAGCGCCGCTTAAATCATTTCTTAGGTCGCGCCGCTTAAGTCTTTTCTTAAGTCGCACCGCTTAAATCTTTTTTTAACTCGCGCCGTCAGTCTTTTCTTAAATCGCACCGCTTAAGTCTTTCCTTAAGTCGCGCCTCTTAAGTCTTTTCTTAAGTAGCGCCGGTTAAGTCTTTTCTTAAGTCGCACCGCTCAAGTCCTTTTTTAACTCGCGCCGTCAGTCTTTTCTTAAATCGCACCGCTTAAGTCTTTCCTTAAGTCGCGCCTCTTAAGTCTTTTCTTAAGTAGCGCCGGTTAAGTCTTTTCTTAAGTCACACCGCTCAAGTCTTTTTTTAACTCGCGCCGTCAGTCTTTTCTTAAATCGCACCGCTTAAGTCTTTTCTTAAGTCGCGCCTCTTAAGTCTTTTCTTAAGTAGCGCCGCTTAAATCATTTCTTAGGTCGCGCCGCTTAAGTCTTTTCTTAAGTCGCACCGCTTAAATCTTTTTTTAAGAAGAGCCGTTTAAATTTTTTCTTAAGTCGCTCCGCTTAACTCTTTTCTTAAGTCGCACCGCTCAAGTCTTTTTTTAACTCGCGCCGTCAGTCTTTTCTTAAGTCGCGCCGCTTAAATCTTTTCTTCGGTCGCAGCGCTTAAGTCTTTTCTTAAGTCGCGCCGGTTAAGTCTTTTCTTAAGTCGCACCGTCAGTCTTTTCTTAAATCGCACCGCTTAAGTCTTTCCTTAAGTCGCGCCTCTTAAGTCTTTTCTTAAGTAGCGCCGCTTAAATCTTTTCTTAGGTCGCGCCGCTTAAGTCTTTTCTTAAGTCGCACCGCTTAAATCTTTTTTTAAGAAGAGCCGTTTAAATTTTTTCTTAGGTCGCTCCGCTTAACTCTTTTCTTAAGTCGCACCGCTCAAGTCTTTTTTTAACTCGCGCCGTCAGTCTTTTCTTAAGTCGCGCCGCTTAAATCTTTTCTTCGGTCGCGCCGCTTAAGTCTTTTCTTAAGTCGCGCCGGTTAAGTCTTTTCTTAAGTCGCACCGCTCAAGTCTTTTTTTAACTCGCGCCGTCAGTCTTTTCTTAAGTCGCGCCGCTTAAGTCTTTTCTTAAGTCGCGCCGCTTAAATCTTTTCTTCGGTCGCGCCGCTTAAGTCTTTTCTTAAGTCGCGCCGGTTAAGTCTTTTCTTAAGTCGCGCCAGTTAAGTCTTTTCTTAAGTCGCGCCGCTAGC